AAGTGTGGTGTCAACACCGACATCGTTCACCAGATACCTTTGACCCAGTGTTGACGTCACACTTCAGAGAAGCCATGTGACAAGCCTCACTGGGTCAGTCTACTGAAGAAGACCAGAGTGACTGGTCAAAAGCTCTAGGTGAGAACCATTCCTTGTGTTGAAACAAAAGTTTTCACTTAAAACCATACTTGTAACTACCAACACAGATGAAATTTCATGATAGTATGAGACCTAAACTCCTAGTTGAGGACAAAAGTGAGAACCCGATGAAATTATTTACGGATAATACACATCATGAAGCAAGGGCAGTGTATAGAAGCAGGACTAGGACTATGTTTCTTTTGTAAGCAGGCCTTGCTTTTGTGAAGTGCCTACCCTTCAGCAAAAGAACTTACACTGTTGCTGTGTATCACTCGTTTCCACTTTAGGCCACACCAATTTAATTTGTTGTTTCTCGGATCAAAAAAAAAATGAAGTGACAGGGCGAAAAAAGAAAATAAAAACAGGTCTATAGACCTGTTTTTATTATATAGGCATCCTATTATAGCTCCAAATGCTACAATAGGAGCCATGAAGGCAACACAAAAGGCTAGTTTAATACTTAAACAATGAATTTCGAACTTTTAATCAAACTACTGCATTGATAGATGGAAAAACTGTGGGAACTAGGAAGAAAAGGACTTTCCTCAACTGTTAAGGGTAAAATATGAGCATTTTTGAGTTGATTCCGAATGAGAATCTTTTTTTTTTTGCAAATCAGAAAAAAATGAAGAGGCGAATCCGAGAACCAACGAATTAAATTGGTGTGGCCTTAGTGATGAGTAGCCAATGCAAGCCTTGACTTAGAAGGAATGGTATACAACTGTTGCAGATTTAAATCACTTTAAGCCTCAACAACCCAAATGTTTCATTAACTGAAATCTTTGGTATAGTACAATACTCAGTAAGAGACTGACTGAAGAATTTTACATGTTGGTGATTGATTATTTGGGTTGATACAAGCTACAAAATGGATGTCACTGTTGAACAAAGAGACTACTTTTTTTTTTTTTACGCAACCAAGTCTTTCATTCAGCCGACGTTTCAGTGACCGTCTGTCACCTTCCTCAGGGCAATTCTGACTGGTTCACATTGCACTGCAATACAGGTGTCGCTGCTATACAATGTAGATGCATTCCCAAACGTATTTACATATCTACACGGTTACTGGAACTGTATCTACAATATTTTTTACGTTTGGGAATGCATCTATAGCAGTGACACCTGTACTGCAGTGCAATGTGAACCAGTCAGAATTGCCCTGAGGAAGGTGACAGACGGTCACCGAAACATCGGCTGAATAAAAGACTTGGTTGTGTATAAAAGAGTCTCTTTATTCAATGACTTACCAACCTGATGAAACTAGACGTCACTGTTGTTTCGTACATTGTACAAGCTGTTTTTTCTTGTTAAATCCAGTATAGGTGCCTCTTACTGTGCTAGCTATACAGAAAGCCATGCCCCTGAGGTGTTAGCAATTCTTGATGTTCATATTTTCCTACTTTACCAATCTGGGCAGCAAAAGTCCTCATCATTTGCTGAGGTTGTTCTACATACTATTAGTTCACTCTTTCCTCAACGGTGATAGAAAATTATTATATAGATACATTGTAAATGGTGACAGACTTCAGTTATATACCAACGGTTTTGCTGTGTCAGAATTGTGCTTGTACAGGGCAGTTAAAACAGGCAACAGATATTGAGTACTTTTTTCTCTAGCCTTTTCCCCACATTTAACTGTTTCTTCTTATTATGTTTGAAGATTTTCGGCATCTGACAAAGCTCAGAGTTCTTGAGAAGACGACACTTTTGTTTCAGACTTGAGAAGACATTTTTGAACCTCAGAAGTTTTTAAGACTTCACATGTGAAATTATGAAAACTTCCAGTCAATTTGTAGAGAAAAACCATGCTTCACTGAACTGGACAAACCCGCGTAGAATTTTGGAATAGAGACTTTTGTTAACAATTCATTTTGTCTTCTATGTCAGACGTAACAGTATGAAATTTTGATGCAACAAAGAGACAAGTTATGAACAAATATTCCAACAAGGGATTCTTCTATACACTAACAGAGAGCTTTTTAGTTTCTCAGTAGGCCATGTTGATTTGATTACAAGGATGGCATTCGCGAGGACATGAATTTTCATTCGTTTCCAAAATAAAATGTTTTTGACCATACTGTAAATCATACAATTTACAAAGCAGCTGCAAGATGAGCAAATATATGTCGTATATTACAAAAAATATTGGAAAATGATACTAATGTCGTAGAATGCCCAAATCAAGTCCAAAGGAAGAAAATGTGAAGAAATGAAAATGTAGAGTCTATTCACCATACAATGCTCTGTGTGTCATTTGTTCAACCTTCATGACTACATAGACGTCATAATAAAGGTAACTTTTTTTTTGGTCAACCTTTTTTTTTATTCGCACGCTCGCATCAGTTTTGGGGTTCCCAGAGGATGTCATCCATATAATCAAATCAACATGGCCTTACTATCAAAATCCTGGCTCTGACATCTGTGTGTACTGTGTACACGGCTTTGTTGTAATCATTTTAAAGCTGGAAGGCAGCAGTAGTAGGGGCTAATGTGTACGACTAGCAGCAAGTCCATGGGTTGAGGCCTTGAGGGTATACATTACTTAGTAGACATCTGATGCCAGGAAAATAATTATAAGCTCTGCCAAGAGTGCCAGCATTCTGTGACCTACAATTGACCTTGGACCCCCCTCCCCCCTTCATTTCAACAAAGAGGCTTGGGGGCAGGGGGGTTGAAGAAAACAGGGGGGGGTTGGTATACAGTACATCCCTGCTCAGAAGTGATGAGGTGATGTTGTGAGGTGGTGGTGAGAAGGGGGAGGGGGGTGAAGAGAGGAAGGCTAGCTCTCAGACTGGAAGTCCCTCAGCAGAGTCAGTCGGCGTTTCTCCGTGATGTCCATCTGGTTTTCTAAGTCCTGGAAGAAGACAGGAAAACTTTTCCGTTAGGCCACACCAATTTAATTTCTTGGTTAATGGATTTTTCCAGAAAAACAATGGAGCGGGCGGGCGAAAAAAAAAAGAAACAGGCCTAGGCATCCTCTTATGGCCCAAATGGTATGATAGGAGCCATGAAGTCAACACACCAGGCTGGTTCAAAATTTAAACAATGAATTTTGAACGTTTAATGATACCACTGCATTGAAAGATGGAATAACTGTAACAACTTGGAAGAAAAGGACTGTTTTCAACTGTTTAGGGCAAAATATGAGCATTTTGCAGTTGATTCTGAATTTTTCTTTTTGCAAATCAGAAAAAAATGTAGCGGGCAAATCCGTTAACCAAGAAATTAAATTGGTGTGGCCTTACATGGAAATAGTTGCAATTGCTTGAAACTTTAAACTCCACTCATTAGTTCAACATGCAAAATTGTATGTTCACACAGAATACTTATAACGTGCAATAGATTATATTGATGGCTGATGCACCGCATCTTATTGTGTTTTTAACCTTGCGCTCTTGATCAATGTTGATCTGCTTGAAAGGGCCGACCGAGGTGTTTTTAACCCTTCATCTTGTGTATTGTTTTAATTGTGTTGTCAATTCAATAAAGATGATGTGAAACACATATGCATATGTTGAAACCCACATGCAAATTGCATGTTGCAAGTGGGTGTTTCAATCCCTGCAAAGTTTCGCAGTACTTTTATATTCACGGTCACTTCGGTACAGTGAATTTATCATTATTGCAACCAAATAAAATGCTGACTTTCTTTCTTATGCACCTGCCGCCACCAGGAACAAATAGTTCTTCAAACATGTCCATTTTTCTCAGACCACAAAATTTTGCTACTGCGAATATGTAGTGCTGCATACCTAAACCCACATTTAGGTTCAGGTCCAGAGGTTTAGGTTCAGTTCCGGACTTGTAAGTCCGGACCTAAACCCATGGCATAAATTCGTTCCCACATGCATATACAAAATTGCATGTTGTCATCCTTGCAATGTTGTTTTGGTGAAACTTTGGCCACATAACATGGAGGCCGGTACTTGACGATGCCCGATGGCAATGCTTTCTTCATTTTGCAGCAAAGATTTTGCAATCTACGGAAGGTTTTAGGTGGTTTGGAAAGAAACGGGGTATGTGAAATGGTCTTTTATGGTAATAAGTCCGGACTCAGTTCTTGACTTTTAGTTTTTTTGGACTTGAACCTAAACATTCTTTCAAGTCCGGATCCAAGTCCAGTGAACTGGTATGCAGCACTACGAATATGAAAAGATTTACAGTCTGCATGAGAAACATCATCTCACCCCTCTGTCTGTCTGCTCGGCACGTTCTATCTTCCAGGAAAGGTTCTCTATCTCTGCCTCCAACTGGGCCTGCTGGTACTCAAACTGGGGAGAGAGGGAATACATAGAACAACTTAGCGTCTCAAACAAGAACAAACCTGTGACCACATTTACGTTTAGAACAGTTGAAACATAAATTAGCATGACTTCAGTAACAGCATTATTTAACACACAGTACACTAGTTAAAACATTCGGCAAATTATGTGTACTACAAATACATTTGTACATTTTCAAATGCTATGGACTTCAAAGACGTTATTATCTTACCAGTTTCTTGCGAGGGCCTCCCTCCTGGTAATATGCATATGGATAGGTGTACTCAAGGGTGTAACGGCACTGTGTGGGGAAGACAACAACATTATAACTACTAGTACATGTTCTGTAACAGTAGGAAATACAATCAAACTTGTCTAAGACGACCACCTAGGGGACCGAGGAAAAGTGGTCTTCTTGGACAAAAATCATACAAGATAGGGCAGAGAACAAGAAAACCAACGCAGAATTTCTGCACATTTTACAATAGACTGCCCCATGGACACAAAGTGACCCAGTCAGTGCCATTTTTACAGGGCGCAAAGACTGTCAAAATCAATGGCAAACTGGCCGATTTCGTTAAAATTTCATCAAGTAAAACGACCACCCATGGGACCAAGGAAAGTGGTCTTCTTAGACAAGAGGTCTTCCTATACAAAAAGCATGGCAAGAAGTCAAGACAGAAGACAAGGAAACTGCAGAAAAATTTCCTATTTTATAATTGACTGTCCAATAGACCCAGCCATTTTACATGTATTCTTGCAAAGGCTGTCAAAATTTTATGGTAAACTCACCGATTCCATTAAGATATCTCACTAGTTATCAAAAAACGTTTTCTGCCACACACTTTAAATGACGTGGTCGTCATAGGCAGGCATTGGGCCACAAAAATTGGGCCTTCGGCAAGTCCCTTAATGCTTACATGTACGTCTATGGGGACAAAAATCCCACCTTGTGTAGGAGATTGGCTGCATCGAGCAGGTACTGCCAGTCGATCCAGGTGCCCATGTTGTTCATCACCTTCTCCTTGATTCTCTGCTGGATCCGCTGGAACGTCTGCTCCTCCAGCTTCAGACTCTTCTGGTGGTTCTCCCACTGAAACAATCAACGTCATTGGTCCATTTGAATTCCTGGTTCAATGTCATTGGCTGAGGGCTTGATTGGTTCATTTTTCCAACAGAACATTCAGGTGGTTAACCAACCCTGAAGTGGCCTAACGTTCTGTGTTACGTGGCGACCAGTAAGTTTAAAAAAAAAAGAAAAAAAAGAACAAGCTACGTAATTGGTTCATTTGAATTCCTGGCTCAATTTCATTGGCTGAGGGCTTGGTTGGTTCATTTTCCAACAGAACAGGCTACGTAATTGGTTCATTTGAATTCCTGGCTCAATTTCATTGGTCCCTGTCTGAAGGCTTGGTTGGTTCATTTTTTCCAACAGGACAAGCTATGTGATTGGTTCATTTGAATTCCTGGCTCAATTTCATTGGTCCCTCTCTGAGGGATTCGTGGGTTCATTTTTCCAACAGAACAGGCAATATCATTGGTTCATTTGAATTCCTGGCTCAATTTCTTTCATTGGTCACTCTCTGAGGGCTTGATTGTTTTTTTTTTTTAAACAGGACAAGGAGTGTCATTGGTTCATTTGAATTCCTGGTTCAAAAATCAATTTTGGTTGGTTCATTGTTCCAACAGAACAAGCAACATCATTGGTTCATTTGAATTCCTGGCTTAATTCCATTGGTCCCTCTCTGAGGGCTTGGTTGGTACATTTCAGTATGTAGAGATTAAAAAATAGATGCCCAAGGCGGGCGATTGGGAAGCTTGTCAGAGCGTCTTGAAAAAGTCAGTTTTGGAAGGCGCACAAACTCAATTTCTCAGTCATGATTAGAACCAACTTCAAGTGACTATTATATTGTTTGCATACTTTTGAAATTGATATTTTAACAGACATTTTGTGGTTGGTATTTAAGTGGAGATGCAACATAAAAATACAGGAAGATATCAGAAGAAAATCTACGGTTAGGCCACACCAATTTAATTTCTTGGTTAACGGATTCGCCCGCTTCATTTCTGATTTGCAAATAAAAATAAAATTCAGAATCAACTGCAAAATGCTCATATTTTGCCCTGAACAGTTGAAAACAGCCCTTTTCATCCTAGTTGTTACAGTTATTCCATCTTTCAATGCAGCGGTATCATTAAAAGTTCAAAATTCATTGTTTACATTTTGAACCAGCCTGGTGTGTTGACTTCATGGCTCCTATTGTACCATTTTGGGCCATAATACGTAGGATGCCTTGGCCTGATTTTATTTATTTATTTTTTTCGCCCTCCCGCTCCATTATTTTTCTAGAAAAATCCGTTAACCATGAAATTAAGATGGTGTGGCCTTAGGCATGGATGATGCATACCCGTTCAAAGTAGAAGAGGTACTTCTTGAGTGCTTCTCTCGCCTGTGCCTGAGCGCTCTCGTTGGCAATGTTGGGGTTCTCCTTGTACCGACTACACTCATAGTACTCACTACCATGGGTCTTCCAATCTGTGGAATAAATAAAGGTCATACTATAATTACGTTTCTGTATCTGTATAGCGGGTATAACCGCCCTTCGGCGTAACACACCAGCTTCGCAGGCACGCGGCGCGGCGGCAGCTAGCTATATCACACCGAACGACTTGCTACACTCGATCTTTGCACATTTGATTGCAGGAGTTGTTTAAAGCTTTCTAGTGATGATGCCTCAACTGTGCTTGGTGGCAACGAGTTCCAGTCTACGATAGTTCTGGGGAAATACGATTTGTTACCTCAATTCTTGGTTAATAACTCTGATATTTGAAGGCATGACTGTTTCTTGTTCTTTTCTGGGCTGGTATTAGATACTTAGTGGTTGGTACGTCCACCAGTTTATTAGTCATTTTGTACATCATGCACTTTTGCCAAGAAGGTTATGTTTTCATGTCTGTGTGTGCACATGTTTGTGTGGCTGTTTGTGTGAGTGTCAACAGCATAACTTGAGAAGGCTTAGATGGATTATCTTCATGTTGATATTTCGTAGGTGGGTAGGTCTTGATAAAAAAAAAATTGGAAAACCATGCAATCTACAAATGTACATGGTCATGACGGTTGAATAAATGACTTAACACACAGAGTATGGTACATGTATGTCAAAATGACTCAAATAATAGACTCTTCATTTTCATTTCTTTACATTTTCTTATTTTCCTTTGGCTTTGGTATCAATTGTGGCATTCTATGACATTATATCTTTTTCCAATATTTTTTTTTTCAAATTACTAGTAAGCCACATAACTGCTCATTTTGAGGCTGCTTTATGAGATTTACATGTACAGTATGGTCCAAACCTTTTTTTTTAAACAGACGAGAATTCATGTGTGCACGGATGTCACCCATATACATATATTTGCATTAAAATGGCCTAACAAACTATCAGATATAAAATACGTACCTCCAAGACACATCCAACAGAAATCTGTAAATACAAAAGCCATCAGTTATTATTATCAAATCATTCATATGGCATGATCACATACTTAAAAGTAAACTGGTAATAAAGTACAATGTTTACTGTAATCCAAAAGATATACACGCAAAGTACAATGTAGTACAAAATGTAGGACCAGAATAATTATTTCAGAGAAATTAATTCACAAATGAATTTCTCTTGCTTCTTTCTTCTAGCCTTTTAATAATAATTATTAATAGATAAAAAGCAAAACTTTTATCAAAATACATGTACAATGTACATGCCATTCCAGTTCACTTTCTTGCCAACACAGGGATTTTACCTACCGTACCGGCATTGGTAACATTGCTGGAAGACAAAGAACGGTTACTCACCATGCTTGCATTTGAAACATTGCTGCAGAAGAGAGTGAAAAAACATGCAATTATAAACAGGGGTTTTTCTAGAAAAAATTTAGCATGAGGGAGCAGATCGCAAACATGGCGAGGGAGCGAAGTGACCTAGGGGGATTTTTTAAATAAGAGTAACACAGTTTGTATTGCTAGAATGCATTGTTGTATTGTTTTTACATCTTTACTGGAAAAAGATCGTTTTGAGAAAGACAAAATGGTGTGTAAATAGCCACATAGGGTTCAATTTCAAAATTGATATGAGGGAGCTGGCTGGTTACATGAGGGAGCAGCTCCCTTATTCCCCTGTTTAGAAAAACCCCTGATAAATGTCTCACACACAGGCAACACGCTGGCAAATACATGCATAGAATACTGAGTTACATGTACTAACAACATGCACAAGAATGTTAACTGAAAGATAGTCATGTAAAGTATGTCTCAAACAAGCCACATATACAATTGTCAGATTTTGTATTAGCACAAAATCCATAAATACTGTAAATCACTTTATATTCGAGGTACTTTAATTTATATTTGCGGGTTTCGCAGTCACTTCTGTACCGCAAAATTATAATTACTGGGAACAAATACTAAGTCATTTGCCGAATTTCTTTCTTCTACACATGACACCACTGCAAACATATAGTTCTGTGAACATGTCCATTTTTCCCAGACTGTGAATTTTTACTACTACAAATATAAAGTGATTTACAGTATTGGCATTAAAAAAACTTATATTAAAGCATCCTTACATTATAGAATCTACATAGAATTCTGCAACTTGTATCAGATATTGATGATAACTGATCTGTAAACAACTAACTGGTCTTGTTCTTTTGGCTATTTGAACATGTACAATCCAGGAAAGTTTGGCAAAATCTCTTTTTATTTTTCCTCACAACAATATACGATTTTAGATAAGAATACATCAACGCATCTAGCTGATATATAATAAAGCAAAATAGCACAAGTTTCATGGATTAGCATCTACTGATCATGCTTTAAATTTTATGATGCTCAAGAGCTGAAGTACAAGGTCAACATACCATATGGTTGCAGCCTCCATTTTTCTCTATACAAATGTTACACTTTGGGCACTGTAGAAAGATATAACAAGCAATTGTGGTCAGTAGAGACATCTAAAATGTCATGTATAGATTTTCTATTTCGGTGAAATGAAAATCTGACAACAAAACCAAACAGTCAATAAAGTTTTAAATGATAAAAAATTAATAGCTTCTGTATACATGTAAATCTCTGTGCAGGTTTGATGTTTTCAAGTCTAGCTTGAAATGCTGGGTGCATAATTTATTTAATTATGCACATTAGTGCAGGTAAAACTGGGACTGTGTACATGTGTATTTCTGATTAGAAAGTACAACTTACAGCAAACTGTACTCTCTAGCGGACCAACTGGAATGTTAACTCTCCATTTGGCCAATTTCTACTCTTTTTAGTCTCCTCCCAAAGCCTATAGCCTAGTAGAGGCTAATTTTCATTAACATAAGCAGAAGTATAAGCTCACATCTTTAGTATGTGCACTGATGTAGTTGGCTGTCTCTGAGTCATCTGCACACTTCCGCAGCCAGCTTTCTATTGTAGGGCAGTCTGCTGGGACATGGTAGTCTTTCAAACACCTAAAACTGCAAGGCAAGGAGACAAGAGTTATGAAACCAGTTCTTTAAGGTATCGAATGTAATTTCAGGGCAACAAAAATGAATTTTCAAAGTCATTTTACAGTTTTTCGCAACTGTTTCAAAATCATCTAATACGACTTTCCAGCGATGAAGACAGAAACGCAAAATGAACAAGTCTTTAATTTCTTAGAAACCCTATAAGGCCACAACAATTTGGATTTGCCTCTTCATTTTTTTTTATTTTCTAAAAAATTTCACATTCTAAATTAACCCCCAAATGCTCATATTTTGGCCCCAATGGTTAAAGAAAGTCCTTGTCTTCTTAGTTTTTCCCTGTCTGTCAATGCAGTAATTTCCCTTAAAAGTAAAAATTTCATTATATGAATTACAACAAAGCCTGAGTATGTTGAATTCATGGCTCCTATCGTAACATTTTCCGGCTATCACGTCAATTTTTTTTAAAATTCACCCCGTCGCTTCATATTTTTTTAGAAAAAAATCTGAGAACCAACAAATGAAATTGGTGTGGCCTAATGTTGATGTACTGTACCTACCAGCAGCATGTCTTGCACTTCTTACACTCTACTTTTCTGCCCAGTGGCTGTGGTGCCATGAACATCACGTCACAGTCTGGGCCTGGGCACCATCGCAGCTGGTGGTGGCCCTGTCATGGATATAAAAAATTCACATACAACAAGTTTGAAGTGTACAAATGTACATAATGCATACTTCATTTTCTCTCTTTACATACCAAACGTACACTGAGTATGAGTATAATTCTAGGATATCAACTGCAATTCAAAGCATGATCTTCCTCAGGATTATAAACTTGAAATTCAACAATAACAAGGCTTAGGAAAAAAATGTTTCCAGTTTCCTGATGAACCCTAGCAAAAACCCGAGACCCTAGCCTTTTTTATGACCGACCACTGGTATTATAAATTGAATAATAGTATAAAATTTCGAACTGACATTTTAAACGCTCTGAATTTCTTTGACGTCATTAATTTTTATCCATTTTCACTCTTTAGTTAGAAGCAATTTTTTATTCGGTAAATTGGGTAAAGTATTTGTCCACAAGCAAACAGGTGGAATATTTTAGTCGAGATTTAAAAGAATAGACTTTAAAGAAGAAGAAAATCTACTGACCCTAGTTTTTTCAGCACTGAAACCAAAAACACTTTACAGCGTTTTTCCTAAGCCTAACACATGTCTTGGTACATGTAAGTTCTGTATAGAGAAAAACTAATCAGTGAGAACATTACAAACACTCTTATTCTCTGGTCTTCAAAATGTAATTTTGTGTGCTTTTCTTGTAGATACAAAAATAATACATGCTAATCACATGTATTACTAAGTCTTGCAGAATTTTCATATGGTGAACTCACCTTAACATAGTCATTGAAGGCAAACTGTTGATATCTCCTAAGGGTTACTGGGTCGTTTTTTAATATAGAGAGGGCGAAGTCTTCTGTTGTGATGAGCCTACAGTCACTCCACATGCACTCCACTCCTGTGGACAAGTCAACAAGTGTTTCTGTTAGTGTTGTAAAAGTATAGTGTACATCATAAGTGTAACTATAAATAATTTTGTGGCAAAAACAAAAGTACAAAAAAAACTGATGGTTTCAAGCAGTTTACTGTAAATAACTTTTTATTAACTAAAAGTTTGTGTCTCAGAAAAATGGACATGTTCGTGGAACCATACATGTATGTTCGTGGTGGCAACTAAGTAAGTTGCACTAAATTTGTATGCTAGTGAGAAAAGGAAGTCTCCGAATTTTTTTTCTCAGACCCAACATATAAAAGTACCACGAAAAATTGTGATTTACATTACTTAGTGTTGAAACATAAAAGTTTCAGCCTTTTGGTCCTAGCAGGGCTGGAAATACTGGGTGCATGTGCATCTTAGTGCACCCAAATTTGGAGCTGTGCACCCAATATTTTTCTGTAGGTGCACTGGTGCACCCAAATATTTTTGTAGGTATTTTTTTTCATTTTCAAATGTATAATAGGACACTCTTGGCATCTAAGAGTCAGAAAAATAATAAAATATTTGTTGTAGTATTTGTTTAAGATCTTGCAGTTAGCTCACATTTCAGATTCAAGCTTAGGCCACACCAATTTAATTTCTTGGTTAACGGATTTTTCTAGAAAAATAATGGAGTGGGCGGGCGAAAAATAAAAAAATAAAAACAGGCCTAGGCATCCTATTATGGCCCAAAATGGTACGATAGGAGCCATGAAGTCAACACACCAGGCTGGTTCAAAATTTAAACAATGAATTTTGAACTTTTAATGATACCATTGCATTGAAAGATGGAATAACTGTAACAACTAGGATGAAAAGGACTGTTTTCAACTGTTCAGGGCAAAATATGAGCATTTTGCAGTTGATTCTGGATTTTTATTTTTATTTGCAAATCAGAAAAAAATGAAGCGGCGAATCCGTTAACCAAGAAATTAAATTGGTGTGGCCTTAGAAGAGGAGCAGTAAGACCGATAATAATAAGGTTTTGATTTATATGGTGCACCCAAAAAATTTTCGTGCAAATAATTTTTTCAGTTGGGTGCACCATTGCACCCCAGTGCACCTGTTCCCAGAAATGAATTTCGAACATAAAGTTTTAGCCTTTAGGAGAGACTTGCAGACTTACCCGTGGCCACCCCATCCTCCACCTGTACCTGGAAGTACCTCTGCCAGCAGTCTGTACAGAACTTGTGGTTACAGGCCAGACTCAGCAGGTCTTTCTCCTCCTGGGCCTGCAGACACACAGGGCACTGCGCAGGCGGCGGCTCCACCTGCTGAGAAATGGCAGTATTGCAGGTGGTCATGTCAGGAAAGTTGTGCGGGAAAGAGTACTAGTAAAACTTCCTACATTTATTTCATTTTCATACTGTGTACAAATAGGTAAATATATCAAAGAATGTTTAGACCTTAGAACAAGTAGTATTAGTTGACTCATCTATTGTTTGTACGTAGGTTAATTTCGTTGTACCCATGTATTTGTCTGTATTAGGGGTGGGTACCGGTTCAGTCCGACCGGTTTGGACCGGAACAACATTCAAGAACCGAGTCCAAAAAACCGAAACGTGAAAACCGGATGACCGGACCTGATGTACATTTCTGTAGATTGTACACACATCTTTAGATAATCTGGCCATGACAGGTAAAAAAATAACCCTGAATCATACTAGATCAGCCTAAATCCATTGTTTATGCGTTCAAAAAAACAAGAAAAAAATTGTTTCCCGGTATTAATCTCTTGAAACACGGCGCTGAATATTGACGCAAAAATATTTCGTGCATCGCGCGCCTGTATGCAAATCCCGCGTCACGTGTCGGCATTTCGCATCTCTGATTGGTTGTTGCGTCCGCCGCTGCTGGCGGTAAGACTTGAGCGAGCCGACACGCTAGTAAACAACTTTTCTTTGTTCGATATAAGCGCTAAAATGCTATTTTCCACAACCACACATCGATATTCTAGTGAAGAAATGCATAGTTTCAAGAATCTATGGGGAAAATATATGCTTCTATGCGGATTTTTAGCGTTTTCGACGTGATTTTGTCGTCACTAAACCCGGAAGTGTGGACCGCGGCGTGGCGAAATTTTTAGCGTATTTTACCCTGCGTTTTACCAATCAAAAAAAAAATAAACAACTCCCGCGAACCCTGTAACATTTTAGATCGCAGCAATTAAGTATGTGATCAAATTATTTGTGGATGTGCTGGCATTTCAGCCGTATTATTCATCGGGAAAAGCGGCCTTATGCGGCCGTGCCGTGTACACCAAGAATAGCTGATGCTAACAGCAGTACTTGTGTTTCGCTTGCCAAAAATGATATACAATAATCAGGTCCGGTTCAGGTCCGGACCTGGACCTGATCCTCTGAACCTGATCCGGACCTGGACCTGAATTTTCTGAACCGGTACCCACCCCTAGTCTGTATATCTACATGTAGTTTTAGACCTTACGAAAGTCGCTGTACTTTTGTGTCAATAAAGTTCTTTATTTTACTAGTAGATCAATTCATAATTGTGTGCATTCATCATGGTACAGGAAACTAACTGCTTTTGTGACATATGCAGGGTTTGAAATACTGGGTGCATGTAGCACCCAAATTTGGAGCTGTGCACCCAATTTTTTTCTGTGGGTGCTTTTTTGCATTTTTACATTTATGTAAAGATATTAAATGTATACTAGTACGCGGCATGTTCTTGACATCTAAGTGTCAGAAGAAGAATACAATCTTGTTTATTATTATTGTTTATTATATTTTATAGTTTATTGTATTCTATATGGTGCACCCAGAATTTTTTTGTGCACAGAACTTTTTTTAATTTGGGTGCACCAGTGTACCTATACCCAAAAATGAATTTTGAGCCCTGCAAATGACAAGACCATCGATCCCAAGAAATAGAATATTTCAACAATTTATTGTTTCGTGTCGTGTACAACCTCAAAATAACAAAGGAACCATGACATGAGAAGAAAAACAAAAGAAAGGAAAAACAGCTCCCTCGTGCACTTACTTTTTCTCTACTTTGAGGAGGTAGTATTCTGCAATCTACCATCAACTGCACAGAGTCTTCCCTAAACCTGGGGACGAAAAAAAGACATCAAATTAAACATTAACTGAGTACAAAGTATGAATGAAAAAAGTCTACACTACATTATCATCATGTAAGGCCATGTTGATTTGATTATATGGATGACATCCCCTGGGAACCCTAAAACTGATGCAAGCATGCAAATAGAAAAGTTTGGCAAAAAAGTTTCCTTCATTATGAAATCTACATGGTCATGAAGGTTGAACAAATGACTAAACACACAGAGTATGGTATGGCTGCGTATCTTAACACTGACCTTTCCATGACATCCGTTAAGACCCACTGATGTGCCTGCAGCAGTACTTTACCTATGGTGTGGGACACCTGGGGGGGAAACTACACAGTGGTTAGCAAGTGTGATGCAGCTACACAGTAATTCTCTTCCATAGTTCATATTATCATACATAACTTAATCCGGTATCACAGTTTCCCTGAGAAAAATGAACATGTTTGCAGAACTATAAATTATATACATGTATTTTCGGTGCAGAAGAAAGAAAGTTGGCAAATTATTTTGTTCACGGTTTAAATTCGTGGAACTCAGAAGTGACTACAAAAACCATGAATATAAAAGTGTTGCAAATATAAAGTGATTTACAGTATACCTGCTAATTTTTATATGTATTATCTTGAATATACATAATTGTCAAATGCTCTCCAAGCAGAGGTTTAGGTTTTTGCGTATTTTTGGAGGTTTCTGTTTATACAGTGTAGTCATATTGTGTAGTTAGAATCTGTGCTAACATTCTACTTGAAACTTCATGTTGTGCAAGTATTTTCTTTCTATTCTATTAGAATAGATCTAATGTGAACATGTGCACCTTTACCAAATAACGTATTTCAAGACATTTTACTACCTAATTCGAGCCGTTGTACCACTTAATTCGAGCTGTTTACCACCTATGACATGAAAAGAAGTGAACGTTTCTTACCTGTATTGTCTGGATTAATTCTGCTACTTTCTCATCCAGAAACTGACAGGCCTCCTCTTTATTAAATAGAAAGTATTCAAAGGCCTCTGGGTCAAAAATCTGCCCCCTGTCATCCTGAAAGTGGAACAGTCCAAACATACAATTTGTTAGTGTTACCATCAAAATGCTCTTCAGTTACAAACACATTACTACTGATATTGCCACAAGTTATTCCATAGGTCTAAAGTTTGATATAGGTCATGTTGATTTGATATACATTGTATGGATGACATCCTCTGGGAACCCCAAAACTGATGTGAGCGTGCAAAATTTGCACTGCAAATAAAAAAAAGTTTTGCCAAAAAGAAAAGTTGCTTTCATTATGAAATCTACATGGTCATGAAGGTTGAACAAATGACAAGAGTACGGTATGGCGAATAATCCACTTTTCAAACTTATTTCTTTACATTTTTCTACTTTTTCGTTTGATTTTGGCATTCTATTACTAGTACAATGGTGTTGCTTCCCAATCTTTCTTTTTGCAACTTACGCAAATTGCAAATTTGATCATATTTGCTCATTTTGCAACTGTTTTGTATGATTTACAGTATGGTTGAAAACTTTTATTTGAAACGGACAAAAATTCATGCGCACGCGGACGTCATCCATATAATCAAATCAACATGGCCTTACAAACACATAAATCAGCTCAAAAAATTTATGTTCCTAGCCAAAAAAAAAAAGGCTCGGGAAAATAGTAGTAGAGTCGGTAGGGAAAATGGAAACACAAAATTTTTTTCTAGGCCTAACTTATTGGTAGACAGACTGACTCTGACCTGTTCCATGTCATCAGGTCCATAGTTGTAGTAGTCATTAATGTCCTCATCACTGTAGTCCTGGTAGCTGCTGTCACTCAACCCCTCATCATCCGGGTCTGAGCCCTGACTCGCCATGTCTGCATCTGCCTCAGACATCTTCTCTGTGATTCCTACATTCACATAAATGTACATGAAAGTGTTAGAAATACTAGAAATACCCATCTGCAGTCTGCATTTTGCAGAGGCATTTTCACATCAATATCGCTGTAAGAAACAGGAGGAGCGAGTAGAAACAGATAAAAAACTGGTCCCGGGTAGGGGTTCGAACCCACAATGTCCCCAGCACCAGTTTCAAATCCGACGCTCCTACTGATTCGGCTAAAAGGTCTAGACCCATCAGCCGGGTCAGTTGGTAGCGCCTATAAACCCCCAACTGTTACATCACTGTGGCTATTTCACCACTCTCGGAGTCCCGGTGTGGCAGCAAGAAAAAATTTGTTGTTGACACACAGGAATGCTAGCCTCCGTGGCCTCTTGAGCCTTTAGGGGTTTCAAGTTTAAAACTTCAGGTTCAACTCAAGTTTTAACTTAGTGGATGTCGAAAAGCTCCCCTCCGAAGTTTGGAAACCCAGAGTTTTGACCTGTGACCAAACTGTCAGAGTGCCAGCCAATCAGAGCGCCCGACAGCGATTTTCCTCCATTATTCATCTGTCGCCAACATGGCTGCTGCATCGCCCGGTGGAAGCTAGAGGACAAAAACCTCCAGTCAGAAGCTGAGTGTGGGAAAGATGCATGTATGTCTGACAGACATTGAAATTGGGCTTATTTAATAAGCCCCCTCAGCAAGAGTCGTGGAAAGCTCCATTGGCAAAACTGCATATTTCTTGTTGGCTGCACGATGTTCCGCTTTCGCCATGTTTTTTAGTGACCCGAGCTTCCCAGAAGTCTTTCCTCACAATTGCCCGGGTTCGTGATGTTCAGATTCCCCTAAACCGCCCACAGCGTGACCTTTTTTACTCTAGCACCATTGGAACCTCCAAAACAAACCGAGCCGCCATCTTGGATATACACAGGAACGTTTGGTAGCCTTTCCGGTCATGATCGGAGGGCTTTCGGTTATGGTCGCTCGCGCTTTGGTAATCGTGCTACAAATGGAACGGTACCGAATGTTCCTGATGGCGCTAACAAGTATATCCAAGATGGCAGCTCGGTTTGTTTTGGAGCAGTTTGCAAAAGAAGAAAATCCATGTATCTAAATCAGTGTACTATAGCTATAGCTAGTACATGGATTCTATTCATTAAATAATTTGATGAAACAAAATTTATACAGTCCAAAGGACTCACTGAAATAGTAAAAAACAAAAACCAAATTACAAGCATACACTCAGTCACAAGCATGATAAATATTACCAGCAAAACTGCATTTTGGCAAACTGGGAAGTCAGTACAAGTGACAGTCAGAGGAAAAATTTGCATGGAAACTAATTTCTTTTAGTTCCCGTTTTCTGAACTGTGCTCATACTACTACTAGGAGGATTATCCTCCTAGTAGTAGTATGAGCACAGTGACTCACGGATCAAGGAAAAACATGTTATCCACCAATCTTCTAAATCTTTCTGACGTACAGACCAAGAGTCAAGGCCTTGAACACCAACATAATCAGTTTATAAATTATAGCGTAACAAACTAAACTACATCGTATATTATTTTCCGTTAAAAATTTAAAACGTCGTACTGAACTCGCATGCAGGGAAGTCGTTGCTTTACAATGAAATCAGAAATATAGTCCACACCTGGCAATGAAGCAAGAAGCGACCGAGAAAATTATGTGGGCAAAACTCTTGGCAAGACGGCAAAAAATATTTTGGTGCAGAGATCACATCATAGCTCGTGCGAGTATGTCATAGAGCGAGTGCCAAAAAAAATTCATGGTGCAATGACTCGCAGAAATCAAAATACTTTTTCACAGCCAAACAACCACCAAAATAAGACGGAATTCCCGTCGACGCCACCTCCTAGACCCGGAGAAAGTGTTCCGTTACCTGTTCGCAGACTGTGTGGGAGTTTAGGAGAGTTTTGGAGCGGTAACTTCGACTGACTGCGTCGCAGAGAAACTGTTGTGTTCCCCCCACTGCTACCTGTCCGCCATAACCGGAAATGACGTCATGCTCCCGCGGAATAAAAAGCCGTAAAATCTCACTTAAAAACACAAACCAAACATGAAATTATACAAATTTGTGTCCCAAATTTATAAAATTAATATAAAGCGTAGGGTTATACCTTCTATACTGTTGGCTAATTTTTGCTAAGCACAAAATATACGTTTTTAGACAGAAAATGTCGTAATTAATCATTTCCTGCCGTTTTGCGGCAGGTTACTTGAGGTCAACCTCGTATGGCGGGATAATGTTGGCCTCTTGCAGCTTGGCTTGGTAGATTTTGTAGTTCCAGAGCGAAAAATGTGACAATTTTAGCGAGTTTTGTGCCGTTTAGGAGCATGTAACCACCGTCTAGATGTACGTGATAGTGACCTGCAGTGACAGAGAGACATGATTTTGCCATCTGATGTCGCAAGGCTTGTCCTTGGTGAGTTTGTTTGCAAGTAAATTTAGCAAATATTTTTATCGTGAAGTGGTGGGGGAGGGGTGCTAGTGGGTGGTATGGTTTTACATGCATGATTATGAATTATGATAAATTATTATTGAAAAATCGCCCATCCACGTTCTGCTTCCATGAATGTGTCGTAGATAATCATCATAATTTTTGCAGGCTTTGAGGGAGATTATATTTTTTGTTATGCCCCTCCCCAAAGTGACATTTGTGACATAGCGTTAACACAAGAAGTTTTGTTGACAAACTTTGTAATCTTAATTTCTGCATTTTTTAGGCCATTGTGATGGTAGAGAAGGAATTGATATAAAAATAGGCCAATTATAGATTGTCGCTGATTCTTGCCAGTTATTAATTTCTGTGGAACCTGCAATTTCTGTGGAATTTTTAAAACTGTATCAAAGCACAAAAGTTTCCTACAAAAAATGTTCATGTGACAGAAACTTACTTTCACTTTTCTGTGCAATTATCTCAATTTATGGTTGGCGCTAAAACAGCCCACAACAGGCACACTCAGTTTTTGGTGCCACCACAAAATACAAAAATGTAAACAACTTTTTGACACACTAGTATTATTAGTAAGGTGTAATATTCTGGCACCTCCGCTTCCTGAATGGCACTTAGCTGCAATGGAGTATGGATCATTAAACTTCCATTGCAAGAGAAATGACCAGAAAATTGACTATTATTATTATATAGTGTATAATATTTACTTTCCCTTACAATAGGTTACCTGTGTGAGGAGGGTTTGGTGAGGAGTCGACAGGTGTTCCTGGAGGAGAGTCCTCACCTGGCAGAGATCAGACAGACGGCAGCTCAGGGACACCAGGTGTATATACAGGTGTGAGGACGAACATAGAAGACTTCTATGTTATATCAAGGAGCTTTAAATTAATTTTCAACCTCCTTGGTAATATGCATGGACTAAGCCCATGTTGTTTTGTTTAGTCCTAGCAAAAAAATGTTGTGTTTCCTGGCCAACCCTAGAAAAAAAATGCAGACCCTTTTCTTTTTTTTGTGGACCTCTGCAAGGGACATAAATTTTTCGAGCTGAACTTTTCTAGCTCCATGATCTTACACCTGAGTGATGAAACGTTATACAATTGGTTTTCCAATATTAAATTCATAATGAAAGTGTCCTCAACCAATCTTTACTTTGTTAAACTGTATTGTATAAGTTGGATCACTACATAGAGATCGCCAAAGTCTAATAAAAATAGAAAGAAAAAAGATTCCTTTGTTACTCACACTCCCTATCACATTCTTTATTCTAGCCTGTTCTTGGAAAGGACTTGAAGGGCATTTTGGAGGAGTATGCTGCCATCAAGACACAAGGTAGGAACAGGAAAGGTTTCTGTATCTGTATGGCCTGGTTTATCCAGTATAACTGCCCTTCGGTGCAACACAGCCTGCCACAGCATACAGGAGTTATATATTAAAATAAGAGACGAAACAAGAACAATGCAAGTACATGTATTTAATTGCCAGTTACTCATCAATACATAGAGATAAAGACTTCTGCTGAATTAAGATACTGATATTACTCATTGACTTTGCATGTGATGATGGCCAGTCTTGCTAACCAATGTATCAATGTTAGTCGCCTTTCTTATATCAAGTTTCCCTTTATATGTACAGTGTACAAACTACAGAGATATGCAGTGCAAACATGATTGATATACAGTCAGTGTTTTCTAGGTGCAGAGTTGCACATTCAAAAATATTTTTAGGTGCAAATCTTGAGAATGCTGTGCAATTTGCACATTGCACCTGGGTAGTGATGCATACTGGTTCACTGGACTTGGATCCGGACTTGTAAGGATGTTTAGGTTCAAGTCCAAAAAAAACTAAAAGTCAAGAACAGAGTCCGGACTTATTACCATAAAAGACCATTTCACATACCCCTTTTTTTTCCAAACCACCTAAAACCTTCCGTAGATTGTAAAATCTTTGCTGCAAAATGAAGAAAACATTGCCATCGGGCATCGTCAAGTACCGGCCTCCATGTTATGTGGCCAAAGTTTCACCCAGACAACATTGCAAGGTTGCCAACATGCAATTTTGTATATGACATGGGTTTAGGTCCGAACTTACAAGTCCGGAACTGAACCTAAACCTCTGGACTTGAATCTGGACCTGAACCTAAAATTGGGTTTAGGTATGCATCACTACACCTGGGTGCCCTGTGGATGGATACATGATCAGAAATATAGTTGAAGTGTTGATAAGTTTGTTATTATGACATGTGTTTTCAGATGAACTACAGGAGGGAAACAATGTACTGGGACTGCTGTGGAAGAAACTGGACACTGTTGTGTCACAGATCAGGTGAGCAGGAGTCAAAAACATGGTCCTGGCAGTTACATGCCGATAGCTAATGATGATGATGAGTACAATTTGAAGTACTCTGTTATCATCTCCTCCAACTACAGCATCTCAATGACAGTTCCCTACATGTATGTTCCTTACTACTTCGAGTGTCCACATCACTTTCACACCTACAAAACTGTAATATTTTTGATGTAGTTCAAAACTTCATTTACTGTACGGGCAAATCCTCCTGTAATTTATCTTGGTTTTATCCACCTTGTATGTATCTTGTCAATGTGTTTTATACTCATTGTATATTTTTGAGTAGAAGGTGTTATAATATAAGAAAATTTTGCTTTTTGCCCAATACTCAATAAATATATGACGTTTTGTTAATTGATAAAAAAAATACAATTTGAAAATACATGTATAGGCATTCATATTCATGTCTTACACGTTTTTTTGCAAGTAGACAGGCAGTGTAACATTTTGCATCTTTCAGTTGAAAGTTAGCCAAATAATTCTATCATTTTGTATTTCAGGCATTATAAGGGCCCCCAAACTGGTCAGTCTTCCAGTTTCCATGGCAGTTCACACCCAAAACAATCCTCCAGCCAATCACGTAAGACCTACTGTTTGATCCTATTGTATAACAGTTACTGCGTAGCCAATCACGTAAGACCTACTGTATGATCCTATTGTATAACAGTTACTGCGTAGCCAATCACGTAAGACCTACTGTATGATCCTATTGTATAACAGTTACTGCGTAGCCAATCACGTAAGACCTACTGTATGATCCTATTGTATAACAGTTACTGCGTAGCCAATCACGTAAGACCTACTGTATGATCCTATTGTATAACAGTTACTGCGGAGCCAATCACGTAAGACCTACTGTTTGATCCTATTGTATAACTGGAAACTTGAAAGAAAGTTGCTCCTTGTAATTTCATCAGTTGAAAACAGTCTGGTCTTTTCTTAAATGCAGTGTTTTGTAATGTTCATTGTCTTAAAATTGTATTCAGTCTTTGCCTCATAAAACTCTGCCTTCCAGACCGCACCTTCAACCTGATGACCAACATGCGGAGGAACCACCTGCAGAGGGGACAGGTGCAGGCTGCACCTGCTGCAGCTGTAGTCAGAGCACCTGTGACATCTGCGCCTGTGACAACAGTGGTGGTAAACAGAGATGGACAGCAGCAGCTGGTGACATCTGCCCCTGGCGCAGGACTTACTGCACCTGTGCAAACTGCACCTGCGCAAACACCGTCTTGTGCAGGTGAATTATGCAAGCCTCAAAAATGTTCCATGTTGTTCTTTTATATACAAATCATGTAGGTCCATTGACTGCGTGAAACAGTCTAGTGTACATTATGCATTTACATTCCACAGTGCCTGTTACAACTGCAGCACCTGTTACAACTGCAGCACCTGTGACACCTGCAGCACCTGTGACACCTGCAGCACCTGTGACAACCGCAGCGCCTGTCACAACTGCAACTGCAGCACCTGTGACAACTCCTGTCAAGAACTTCCTACAGAATCAGGAAGGTTCAGAGAAGGACTTTTCGCATGCCAGGTCCCCCAAAAGAAAAAGGTTTGTTCTTTAAACTCCTATCAATCAGTATTAGCCTTTGTGTAGAAAGTATACAGTCTATATTTTGGATTGACGTCGATAAATATTTTTTTCCACATTGTCAGCTACTGTTGATGTAGCAGAATTTCCTACACATGTTACCATAGTAAGGTTCCCACAATAATTTTTTCACAGCATAGGGGTCAGGTGCAAAAGAACAACTTTTTTGTGGCACAAGCCACGCATTGAGTCCCAAAGGCATAACCACAGTAGGGGTCTGATATTCTAAAATAAAATGTTTCAACTCATAACCCTATGAGGCACCATTTCCTGCTTATTAAGTTATTGGGGGACAAATTTTATCTTACCCCTGCAAATTTTATCTTCTTTTATCTAAGTTTTTAAAGTCTACTGAAGAAGACCAGCGTGACTGGTCGAAAGCTCTAGGTGAGAGCAACTCCTTTTGTTGGAACAAGTTTTAACTTCAAACATGATTTTTTTTCCCTGTGTGTAGAGCTGCACCAAAGCGTCTGACGGCTGTCCCAGAGCTACAGAAGCCTGTGGAGTACCTACTGAACAGTGACGACCTGTTAGAAAAACTGGCACACACTATCGGGAGAGTCCACTTTGGCCAAGACGGTACAGACTCAAGTTTATTTGAATACTGCTATGGTGCAGAGAAGTGCCATATTGTGTACATGGCTTGTGCATTTTACGTTGTCAAGTACTGTAAGTCACTTTATATTTGTGGTAGCAAAAGTTTAAAATGGACATGTTCGTGGAACTATGTTTGCAGTGGTGGCAGAAGCAGAAGAAAGAAAGTCGGCGAATTATTTTTTTGCGGTAATGATAAATTTGTGGTACAGAAGCAAAAAAACGCAAATAAATCGCGACTTACAGTACATAGTGTTTATGGCTTTATATTCTCTAATGTTAGCTCAGTGTAGAATATGCTTCTTTCGGACTTACTTGTTGATAATATGGAAGTAATTCGCATTCTTTTTCAATGTTTTCTGTTATGCTAGACTCAGGTGCATGAAAGTTGCCTCAGTTGAGGGCCAGAAATTGTCAGATTCGAAGTTGTCATCACTTTTTTGTTGTTGTTGCATTTTTACATTGTCGAGTATTTTGCTTGTCATTTGTTTGTACATTAGGTGAAGAACAGGAACAGAAACAGGAAGCGAGCAAGACAGAAAGTGTTTCTGTCCCTGCCACCCCCTCCGCACCCCCTGCCCCCGGGGAGCCCGAGGTGGGACCCCTCCCCCTCCCCGCCGGGGAGATCTCCAACATCCTGGACGAGTTCAGCGACCTTTTTGACATGCTGGGAAACATTGGTATGGTACCTAGTACATTTTTGACATGCTGGGAAACATTGGTATGATACCTTGTACATGCTGGGAAACATTAGTATGATACCTTGTACCTTTTTGACATGCTGGGAAACATTGGTATGATACCTTGTACCCTTTTGACATCCTGGAAAACATTGGTATGATACCTTGTACATGCTGGGACACATTGATATGATACAATGTACCTTCCTTGTACCTTTTTTACATGCTGGGAAACATTGGTATGATACCTTGTACCTTTTTGACATGCTGGGAAACATTGGTATGACACCTTGTTTTTATCCTGCACCAAAAAGAGCTTATCTTATTATTATTAATATTAAGTTTATGAATGATATGATGAAATGAAATTTTGGGGAAAAACAAGAATGTCATCAGGATTTTAATTTCTTTCTCATTGTGATTTTTTTCTCATTGGACTTTTTTCTTGTTAGGCTTTTTTCTCATTGTGCTTTTTTCTCATTGGCCTTTTTTTCTCATTGGTCTTTTTTTCTCATTGTGATTTTTTCTCATTGTACTTTTTCTCATTGGGCTTTTCTTATTGGGCTTTTTGCTCATTGGGCTTTTCTTTCTGATTTGGCTTTTGTATGTTATCAGCTCAAATTTCATGTTGGTTCAAAATTGCAAAAAGTTTTCCTGAATTTCTACTTTAAGTTGCAGCTGTCTAAGCAGCAGCTACACATGTAATTGTTTTTTTTTTCAACATTTTCAGAGACTCCAGTCAGCGGTCCAAAAGGCGCACAAGAACGCAGGGCGGACAGGTCCAACACTCCCATCAGCCTCTCTGATGCCTTAGACTGGTCCGACATCGGCGTGCCCGAAGAACAACTTCCGCCAACCTCGGCCGAAGCGAACACAGACACACGCAGCACAACACAACCAAACAGTACTGCTCTGCAAAACATCTGTAGTACCACAGCGCCACCTACTGTACTTTCTGGCACTGCAGCACCTACAACCAGACCTGTTGGTAGTGTGGTGTTACAGCCCCCCACAGTGTCTGTGTGCTGTCCCCCAGCTGTAGTGAACAGCACAGCTACAGCTGTACTGGTGAACAGCACAGCTGCAGGTGTACAGCACATCCAGTCACAGCAGCCAGCACAGCTTACAACTACAGGTGATTGGCATCTCTTGATTTCATCGTAGCTGATACTCAAGTACAAATGTATATATATATAGGAATGCATATAGATACACTAAAGTCTTGTATTAAATCAAGGACAGAGAAATTGGTGGCGTCTTAACTTAAAGGCAGTATCAAGAACAGAAGCCAGTATTATTTTCTAAAAGAACACATTTTTATTGATACAAAATCAACCAAATTTGTAAAATTTAGTTTCAGATTAAAAAGGATTGAACTACATTATTTATAATCCAGTAACTTAAAAAGTAGTGCCCCTCCATGGATTATTGCTGAAGATCTTGGTCATTTTTTTACTTAAATTTAGGAAAATTCAGATATTAAGGCAAAAAATTGATGAACAACTAGTTAACCACTCACACAGTACAAACCTTATTTTCAAGATATTGTAACAGCTGCTTCATTTCTTTTAGGTCAAAAATAGTATCTACAGAACCACAACAATTGCTTGAGTGTTTGAATGTACATGTACCACATTGTTTTAATTTAAGCTTGTGTAGGTGTGTACCTGTACTTCATGTGTTTTGTCTATTTTTCCCCTTCTGCAGTTCCAGTCTTGTTGCAGGCCCAGCCCTTAGCAACAGTGGCCCCGCCTCAAGTCATCGCTGTGCCGCGAGGGATGGCAGTCATACAACAGAACAACCCCACATCTATCCCCTCTTCCTCCAATAGTAACGTGGCTTGCATCTCACTGGTCGGTGGAACAGTGCTGCAGTTAGCCCCTGGCCAGCAAGGGGTCTCTTCAACAACAAGAAGCAACACGATTTTTACTACTAATACACAAACCGTGCCCACCACTCAACCTAACAGGCAAACTCGAATAAGTGTGGTTCCAAAACCAGCCCCGGGAAAGAGGCCCCTTCCGAAGACGGCCATTTCCGCTACGCATTTTCCGGCGCCATCGCCCGCGAAATACGCCACGAAGCAGCTAACAGTAAGAGAACAGGACGCAAAACCCCTTCAGGGGATAGTGCTCCCCAGTCCCGGAAAGGATACAAGCCCGGGAACGTTGTCCAACCAGGCGAGCTTGAGCGGTCGGGTGAAAACTGCCCATGTCCGGATCCTCGATTTCGGTGGTGGTGAAGAGACAGAGTCCTCTCCTTCCCCCTCCTCCCAACCAGCAAACCAGGGCAGAGTACACTGGCTGAAACAGGCCAGCCAGCCAAAACGAGCTAATAAACAGGTTAAATCGACAGTTACAGGCAGGAGGAAGCTAAGAAGCCCAGCCCAGGCTGTATCCCCGGCACCCCAGCAGGCTGCAGCTTCAGCTATCGCAGCCGTAGACGTAGTAGAGAGGCAGCTTGTGTTCGTAGAACAGCAAACTTCGGGTAGTACTGGTCAAGTCAATAAGGTAACAAGCTACCCTGGGAAAGCTCAGGACCCAGTCAGCAGTAGTGTTCACGTTGTGAACAAAAACGTGCCTGTCTTGTGCGAAAAACAGAGCGTGAGTCGAGCCGAACGCGTAGTAGAAAACTTGGACATTGCCGCTTCGGTCGAGATCTCTCAGAGTCGCGGGGCTAACAGCAGAGGAAGGGTACAGGAAACTGACGAGGCCTTTGTTCCAGCGGCATGCAGCCCACCCAAGGACACCAAAACAACGGCGGCTCAACTACCAAGGTCAACTAGGTTAACACAAGCAAACACGAAAGACAGAATTAGAAAACAGAAAGAGAATCTACAGAGAGAAAACAAACTTGCAACCAGGACGAAACACAGGAAAGACACGTGCCTGAAAACGGAGATGTTTGATCCCGTTAACCCGGATAGCCCGTCGACTAGTAGAACGTTAGCAGCAGAAACGTTGGTGAGCCTCGCCACTGCGATCACTCTACACTCAGGCACTGCAGATGATGCATTGGACGACCAGCAAAATGGAAGACCCACAGCAAGCGACTTACAGAGAATAGAGACAGCTACCTCTGACAACACCTCACATACAGGCACTGTGGATTGTACAACGGACAGACAGAAAACTGGTACAGCTACAGGTATATATTATTTTGAATTTGATCTTTATTTGCAAAATCATGCCCAAAGGCTAATTGCTTGTTAACTGTCAAAGAAAGTAAGTAGGAGATATACAACAACTACATGTGTATATACTACGTTTGCTATTATGGGGTTTGACTTTTTCTTTAAAGGCAGTGGATAATGAATTGACCCACGTTCTGCATAATGAGGTAGAAGGAAGTACTCTCCAAGCAGAGGTTTGGGTTTGGCATATTTTTTACATTTTTTAGGCTTTTTTATCCAGCCCTTTTTTTGGCACTGGTATCTTTTTGGGGGTTGGCGTAAAACCCCCAAACCTCTGCTTGGAGATGGGGAAATTGTGGCAGCTGTTTAAAATAATCTGTTTCTGTCAGTCTCATAGTGAGGACACTGGCTAATAAAATGTGTTTCATGTATTGAACAGTTTTATCGTACTGTTGGTATTGTATTTTGTATTGATAATATTCTTTAAGATTTTGAACTGTAAAAAGGCAGCAATTCAGCCTTTTACTTAGGCTGCCACAGACTTTTAACCTGTATTTTTATGTGAATAATAAACCAGTCATCGTCATCATCATCATGCCAATATCTCTCCTACAGGTACAGAAAGCAGGGCAGCAGACAGGAGTAAAAGTGTAATGGCCACATCTCTAGAAAAAGAAACAAGAACTGAGGCGCTGAAACCTAAGCAGCAACAGCAAAAAAGAGATGTCATGGTCACGGACGCAAAGTCTCAGGAAGCACAGGAGAATGGGACAGCATCCGTTAACAGCACAGTTGGACAGCACGAAAACAACACAGCTGTCCTGTCAAGGACACAGCACCGTGGAACAGCTGGTGTGGACAGCACGATCAGAACTGCTACAGCCAACAGCACTCCAAAGATTAGTTCCACAAACAAAACAACGAGTGCTGTCACCGATAACAAAGACACTGCGATAGGGGAAGAACCAAAAGCAAGTAGTGGTGCTGCTAAGACATCTACAAGTGAGAAAGGAGTGCTCAGGACAGAGACGATTAAAAACAGTGAAAACTCATCAGAAAAAATGCAAAAAGAGAAACATACCGGGAAGCATGTCACCTTTTTGGAGGAAAAAAATGTAGGCAGGGGCACTGATGACGATTTACAGCCTGAATTGGATAGACCAGAGGCTCAGGATAGTGTACCTCATATCAGTGAAGTGCAGAAGAAGATTGCTAGTCAAAAAGGCCCGGGTGTTTTCAATGACTCTTTCAAGACACCGTCACAACGATCAGGAAAGGAGGAAAAAACAGACTTGAAACCACAAGATGGTCGAGCGACCCTGCAATCCAGAGAAAACGCTGAGAACAGTTCAACGGAAAGAAGAGTGGAAGAAGGGAATGAGAGAGCAGATGGAAAGAGGGATGTGAGCAGATCAAACCCTGTGATTGTAGAGATAAGAGGAGAGAAGAGAGGAAGGAGTGATAGTGTTGACACAAAGGTAGGTTAAAAATAATGCAGGTGGTATTTAAAATAAAGGTCAGCAAAATATTTCCAACAAATGTTATATATTTTAAAGGAAAGTTGCTTTAGTAAACATTACTTTGAATTTAAAGCAATTCAGGTTTTCATTGACTGTTTAACATAATTCTGTTGTATTTATTTGTTTGTTTGTTTGTTTCTTACAGCCTGGCAAAAGATCAAAGACACACAAACAGGTACAGTTATTACAATATTGCTCTCTTTTCTTCAATTTGTCATGAAATTGAAACGGTATGCCCATGGCATGACCTATTATGTTTACCTCTGCAGAAGGAAAACATCTTGTTTTTGCTCCATTTCTTCTTCCTCTTCTTCTTCTTGTCCAAAAAAAGGTCAATGACCTGAACCAGATGTCTGTCACCATGGTAACTGGTGCTGTAGCAGACACTCTGTAGTGTTGGGTTACATTATGTAGCAGGACAGGAGTTGGAGGGACTGCTCACTTTATATTATATATGAAATTATAATCTGTTTGAGTAATACGATAAAGAGAGCAATAGTTTGGTAAGCTAGAACATGTGACGGTAAAAATTATGCATTTGCTTTGCAAATGTAGTAGTTGCAAATATTTTCTCTAACTGTTCCAACTTTCATGTCAATTTCAGAAAACAAAAGGTGGCAGGCATGGAAAGCTGAAATTCCCAGCCAACTTGGATGTGGACAGTTTTCTGTCCAAAATCCACAATGGGAGCTGAACGGGGTCTGCAGATGGGAGCTGAAGGAGTCTGCAGATGAAGCTGGTCCAATGGGACATTAGGCCATGCCAATTTGATTTGTTGTTTCTCGGATTCGCCCTGTCCATTTTTTTATGATTTGCAAAGAAAAAAAGAAGAGATTTTAGGTTCCAAATCAACTGCAAAATGTTTGTTTGTTTGTTTATTGGTTCGCATATATTTTAAAAAAAACAATGCTTAATGAAAGACATATTTTGGCCCCAATGGTTGAAGAATGTCATTTTCTTCCTAGTTGTTAAAAGTTGTTCAATGTAATAATGCAGCTTCGTTTCATTAAAAGGTCAAAATCTATTGTTTTAATTATAAACCAGCTTCATGGCTCATATTGTAACATTTCCGGCTATCATGGGGTGCCTTGGCCTGTTTTTTTTGTCATTTCGCCCTGTCACTTCATTTTTTTTCTAAAAAAATTTGAGAAACAACAAATTAAATTGGTGTGGCCCTTAAGTGTGGAGTGGTGACTGATCTGAAGAAAACTGTTATATGGCATGACACGTTACAATGTTGTGATCATTAGATGTTCGAATCTACTTTGCCTGTTAGAAACAAATTGACAAAGTATTAGTAGGTACCGTTGTTAGGCCACACCAATTTAATCAAAAGGTTTTCAGATATGCCTGCTTCATTTCTTTCATAAAAAAGCACTCAAGTTCAGAATCTACAGAATTCACATATTTTGGCCACAACAGTCGAAGAAAGTCCTTGTCTTCCTAGTTGTTACAGCTTGTCTACCTAACAATGCAGAGACGTATTGAAGTTCAAAATTCATTGTGTGAATTGCAAACTAGCCTGGTATGTCGCCTTTATGACCCCTATAACAATTGTAGCTTTGGGGGCTATCACAGGATGCCTAGGCCTGTTTTTCTTTCATACATATTTCTTTTCACCCTGTTGCTTCATGTTTTTTCTAAGAAAATCTGAGAACCAACAAATCAAATTGGTGTGGCCTTGTGCGTATATACTCTACTGGTAGTTAGATACAAGTGTGTTAAATTCCTGCCTTTGCTGCTTGCCAAATCCCTGGTATCTATGCAAATTTCATCTGTTCTGAAGTTGTTTTTTTAAAGAAATGTTGTGTTTTTTGTCGTGAATGTATTGTAGATGGAATTGAGACAGTGTAAGTTTTTATTTGAATCCGAAGTGACTCAAAGCTTGAAAATGTTCCTCAGGAGAAAGTGTTCAAAATTACTTTGTTAAATCAATCTGTTGAACAAGCTAGTGCTGTTTTGGCAATAGAAAAGTATTAAATAATGTTTGCAAAAAAAATAACACAGCTTTCTAAGCAGAAGCTATGAAAATGTTTTAGTAACCGAAGGAAGAATAAAGTGTATTTTTTTACCCAATTTTTTTTTATCAACAACAATTGTCCACAATATTTATGTTTCTATTGTCAAACAATGGTGTGAAACCAAAGATTAACAAGTTATGAGTTAATTTGTGTATTATCTGAATTTTGTGTGCTGTTTGTTTCAGATGGCTTCTTGAATTTGATATTTTCATCCATGTTTTGCTGTGAGATGTAGCTTGGTTGTTGTGTATTTCAACATATTACACTACAGTTTATAAAATATCATCACATTGCTTGTACTATTGGTAAGACCTGTTTCATATACAGTTAAATATTTCCTATTTCATAATTACAATATAAACATGTTTTGAAGATCCCAACATTTACAGTTTATCGAATATCATGACATTGTTGGTACTTTTGGTAAGGCTTACTTGTTTCATATACAGTTATATATTTCCCTTTTCATAATTACAATATAAATGTGCACATGTTTGGAAGATGTAAAAAGATAATGTTTATTATCCTTTGGCAATCCATTCATTACCAACTGTTCTTGCCTTTCAATAAACAATTTCTTGGTAAGGCTTTAAATGCTTATGATTTACCTTTCATTGGTCTTTTATTGGTGAAATACAGTGTTTTTAAAGTTTGTGAAGAAGTCTTCAGTATACATAGTAGGAACTGTTGAATGAGACCTCGGATGACAGCAGGAACTGGGTTTGGTGTAGTGGTTGGATGGTCAGGGTGGTTGGTTTGGTTGGTTGGATGGTGTGTTGGTTGGCTGGTTGTGTTGACTAGATGGTTGGTTTGGGTGGTTGGTTTGGGTGGTTGGTTGGTTTGGGTGGGTGGTTGGTTTTGGTGGTTGGTTGGTTGGGTGGATGGTTGGTTTGGGTGGTTGGTTGGTTTGGGTGGTTGGTTGGTTTGGGTGGTTGGTTGGTTTGGGTGGGTGATTGGTTGGTTTGGGTGGTTGGTTTGGGTGGTTGGTTGGTTGGTTTGGGTGGTTGGTTGGGTGGTTTGGGTGGTTGGTTGATCAGTTGGTTGGTTTGTTGGTTGATCAGTTTGGTTGGTTGGTTGGTTGGTTGGTTGGTTTGTTTGTTTGTTGGTTGATCAGTTTGGTTGGTTGATTAGTTTGGTTGGTTGGTTTGTTGGTTGGTTGATCAGTTTGGTTGGTTGGTTGGTTGGTTGGTTGGTTGGTTGGTTGGTTGGTTGGTTGGTTGGTTGGTTGGTTGGATAATCAGTCTGGTCAAGTTGGTTGGTTTGTCATTTGTGGTTGGTTACTTTGGTCATGTTAGTTGGTTGATCAGTTTGGTTGGTTCCAAGGTATTGATGCCATTGTTCCAATTACGTTTGGTTTTTCCACTTTTTTTATTCTCTTTGATATAACAAGACAGCTTTACTGCAGAGTTCAGTGGCAACACTGCACTGTAAAGCCAATTTACAATGATCAATGCTGTCGGCACAATAACGGTAGAATGTCATCAAAGTGACATTCAAACTAGTTGTATAGACAAACGATAGAATCGACATACGTATTTCATATATTTACAGAAAGCTGGTCACTGACCACATAGGTATTTGAGAAATAACAATGAAGAGAGAAACGTTCCAGATTAACAATATCTTCTTGAAAATAATAATAATAATAGACATAAGACATGCAGAGCATAAAAGCAAAACTTGGCTTGTAGATCAAGCCTGCCCGTAGCCAGGATTTTGAAGGGGGGGGGTTCTTCCCACTGCTTGAGGGGACCTCGAGCGCCGGAAAATTTTGAAAATTGAACCTTCTAAAATGGCATTTCATGCATTTTTGAAAGGATTTCCCAGAAAAAATCAGAGATAAATTTTTATTCAATGACAGAGGGATCAGTTCCTCTACGATTTCAGTCCATCATTTCAAGAAAAATCTTGGGCCTTTACATAAAATGTGGACCAAAAAGTGGTCCTTTACATAAAATGTGGACCAAAAAGTGGACCTTTACATAAAAAGTGGACCAAAAATTAGTGGACCTTTGAGCTTTGTGGGGGGTTCTTCCGAACTACGGGCATGTCAAGTACTAGTATCACACGTTCACGAATTTGGCCTCCCGAACGCCCCATAACCATTCACCAGTTTCAAAACCCCAGAATGCATTGCGAAAACGGGTCTAAACCTCATTTACATAGGACAGGAAGGCATTTGTTGTCAGATTCGGCCCATAGTAATTTGATTAACGTTGAGCATAAAACACCTCAAAACACAGTGAAAAACAAGCTGTTTAACGTCACCAGGATCATTCCGATGCCTTCCTGTCCTATGCAAATGAGGTTTAGACCCTGTTTTCGCAATGCATTCTGGGGATGGGAAACTGGTGAATGGTTGGGAATACATGTACCTCAGCTGGTGTTCGGCGAATTCGGCTTCGCCAGCCAATGTTTCAAAATGTTTAAAACATTCAAGACTTGGTTGGGAGGTTCGGCTAAGGTTGGCTGGCAATCGGCTGTAAGTCAGCAGAACATCAGACAACCATTCGGGAGTAGGTCAGCAGTGTTCGGGGGTCAAATTTGACTCAAATTTAACTCCAATTTGTTTTGATTCATACAGAAAGGTAGGCGTGGCCTAAATCTTGTCAGAGTTCTCCCGAACGTCTGGAACACATTCGGGGGTACTCTCCAAGCAGAGGTTTGGGTTTTGGTGGTATTTTTAGCGTGTTTTTAGATTTTTTTTCGGGGTTTCTCTTTTGCACTGAATGTTTGGTGAGAAAAATATTCAGTGCAAAAGAGAAACTCCGATAAAAAAGCCTAAAAACACGCTAAAAATACCCCCAAAACCCAAACCTCTGCTTCGACAGTAGTGAATGTGTGACAGTTTCAGCCTCTGCAGGAGAAGGTTTTGACCTCCAATTTGACCTTCCTGTCAATCTATGGGCTACACCATTTTCCATCACATTCTGTTGTCATATAACATAATAGCAAACAAGCACAGGCAAAAATAAAACTAAAATGTCGAAATAGGTATATTTCCAGCACCTAAATATTAGGGTGCTTAAAGCTAACCGTCATAAACATTACAATATAGTTAAAATCCGAATATCTTTGGTCTTGAAACACAACAAATTCGTCACATGTGGCACTTCGATTTTAAAGACATCCAATGCAATTTCAGGGCAGCAAAAATGTTTTTTTTAAGTCAATTTCCTAGTCATACTTTTAATGTAGTAAGGCCACAGCAAGTAAATTTTATGGATGACAGCCTCCGCAGACTCTAATCCTAATGCGAGCGGGCGAAAAAACAAAAAAGGCGGGCCGAAAAAAACAAGGTTCCTACATTTTAAAATGTTGACTCAATCATTGTACAAATGGTTTTGCTTCAGTGGGAACATCACATATACACAGCCAACATCACATATCAGCATCAAAGTAAGAAAAAAAATTAAATCAGAGCCTTTTTCTTGTCTAGCCCCTCTCTTCATAGAATCTGCCATCGACCTTCCAGCATGGCAACAGACATCTTTGCCAATTTTCGGCACGTTGACCACTGTCAGAAGGCAAAAGCATACTGATACGAGTATCTGTGAGGCAAAAATGTACGGAATCTTTTCTTTTGCTTTGCCGCCCTGAAATTGCATTGGATGCGTTGCTTGGAAGGAGTAGAGAAGACAGGCAATACAGTAACTCTACAACCACTAACTCTACAGCCGTGTTTTATCAACAACTCTCCTACATAAAGACCTGAAACATGCTTTAAAACCGTGCGCAGGCATTAGAAATGGCACATTATTGTTTGGCAATTATTATTATCTGTTGAATGTGAACTGTATAGCAAAGAGAGAAATGAACTGTACAGGTTTGTACAAAACCTATTCCCCTAGTTCATACACTTGTATTGTACTGTAGAAAAATTTATATTCGTAAAGCTAATGCAACTAGACAAACCATCCATCGAAAAACATATCTGTTCCTTTATTTCTACAATAACTGAAAAATGAGAAGATGAATTTATATCACAATAGTTAGTTACTTTTGTATCTGTTCGTTCATCTTGTTTTGTTGTTTGCTGTACTTAGCCAAGTGTGGCAGAAATGTGCAATAAAGGTCTTCATTCATTCATCTTATTACAGTAGGATACGTTAGAGTGCTGGTGACAACGGGACGCAAAGGCCAACAACCTTTTATGCTTTATACATCAGTGGAGGTTAGATACCCAGGTAATAAAGTACGCCAAAAACACTGTTACTTAAGCAATTGGATATGATTTTGGATGCTTCAGGTAGCGTCCACTACTAACAACAGGAGCTATTTGACTCATTTGCATCAACCTTGTCTTCGGATTCTGTCTAACTGTATGTCTATCGGCTTATCAAAAATGTGTGTTTACTTCATTTGCGTATCAATAAAGAGTTCGTGTTTGTAAACCTACTGAATGTGAGAGTTCTCCCGTGTCACTGATGAAAGGTAGTGGATGATACCAGAAATTTCTGAGAGTTTCCAAAATCACATTCAGTAACTGTTTTGGGCCTTTCCCTATCTCCAAGCAGATATTTTTGTAGCTACAAAGACAATATCAAATTGGCCAGGCTGTATCCATTTGCCAGACAGTTACGACTGCCCCCAAAATGGTTGAAGATTAGCCCTTTCATGCGTTTGATGAACTTGCGCAGGAAACAACAGCGAGCTGCTCTGCACTGTCGGTAGGGATCTGACAGAGGGCGCTGCCGTTATCCCCCAGGCAGCAGTCCACGCACGGCTTAGCCTTCTGCTGCACCTGCCGTCGTCCCGTAGACACCTGTGGAAAAGTAGACAGCTACATGTGTTTCCATCTTATATATATCAGGGATCGAAATACTGGGTGCATGTGCACCTTAGTTCACCCAAATTTGGAGCTGTGCACCCAATTTTTTTTTCTGTGGGTGCACTGGTGCACCCAAATATTTTTGTAAGTATCTTTAATTTAATTTTTGTACATATTAAATGTATCATAGTATACAAGCTATTCTTGGTATCTAAGTATCAGAAAAATACTTTGAAAATGTTGTTGTACATGTACATGTACTTGATTTGTAAGATTTTGAAGTTAGTCCCATTTCTCATTCAAGCTCAGAAGAGGAGCAGTAACATCTGTAAAAAGGTTTTGTTAACACTATAATAGTTAGTATAACTTACTTACTTTTATTATAACACTAGGTAATATTTCATGTTAACTGTGAATGCGAGTTGTGTGTATTTTAATTCATGTGAGTGAACCGTATTTCAGCCAGACGGCTGCAATGTTTTACAGAAATAAAATACCACTCATGCCTTCTACTGATTATGATTATGATTATGATTAGTAAGTTGATCATAGAACGTCACTCATGTTCAACATCGTCAGCATCTAACCCGCTGTGAAGTTTTATCTCTGATACTCTGCCAACTGTAGGCCCTTTACTACGACCTTTGGTTGGTTATCATGTCTGAGATCTATAATTGCCCACTCACGTCAAAAAAAGTATCGAACTTTGCTGAGAAGGTCAGTATTACCTTCAACACATGAGTAATAAGTAGTAAGGCCATATTGATTTTATTATATGGATGACATCTCCTGTGAACCCCCAAACTGATGCGAGCGTGCGAGTAAAGAAAGTTTGGCAAAAAAGTTACCTTCATTACGAAATCTACGTGGTCATGAAGGTTGTACGGTATGGTGAATAATAGACTCATATTTATTTCTTCACATTTTCTTCTTTTCCTTTGGAATTGATTTTGGCATTCTTTGACATTAGCATAGCTTTCCAATATTCTTTTTTTTTTCAATTTACGGCATATATTTGCAGCTGCTCTGTACGATTTACAGTATGGTCGAAAACTTTTTTTTATTGTTTGGAAACGGACAAAAATTCATGCACGCGCGGGTGTCATCCATATGTAACACAAGAGAAAGGAGTAACTCGAAGGTTGACTCTGACCCCCTAGATCAAACCCGCGCCGCTCGCGCGGCGTGTCAGTTCATCACAACCAGCGCACTAACCGATTGGGCCAAAAGGTCCCGGACCCGTTGGACTGAGTAGTCAGTGACGCCTATATACTCGCTGTTACACATATAATCAAATGAAACATGGCCTAACGCTTATAAGGACACTTCTCTAATGGCCGTCAGTTGTCTGTTTTGTGATGTCTGAGTCAGACGGCGCCACGTGCACGGTAGAAGAAAGGGAGATTTTACAGAAGGAGCTGGATGTCATCCATACATGTATAATCAAATCAACATGGCCTATAGCCACCTTGTAGCCTGGGTGTCATCCTTCGTACTTTCCGTTCTCTCTACGCAGTAGCCAGCGACATTAGAGAGTGGGCGGAAACTCCAGAGGATGGCACCCAGGCTAGCCAACGTGTAGGCCAGGCACCAGAATTTCGTTGCCCAAAATGTTATAGTTCCTAGTTAATGATCTTTGAAAATCCTTTTTTTCTCTTAAATTTTGGTCCAGCTTGGAGATATTTGGGCTAGAAGAAACAGGTATAGGGTGTAAACATTCCTACTTTGGTCAAATTTTGTTCATTTCACCAGTTTAGTGGGCATAATGAGAGACCTGAGTGATGAGGCCTGGCCTGCCTAGGGCGGATGGATACATGAGAAAATTAGGTCAAAAGTAGGGTTTGTTCACTGTTGTCAGAGTTTGAGCTGATCAACCCCATATTTTCTCTTTATATTTAGGAAGCAGATCATTGTGGCTCTCTGGTGCAGAAGAATTGTTGAGATTTGAGAAAATACTTTCATTGGGACTTGTTTTAGTGTATTTTACCATAGACTTCAATGGGCAAAGATATTAAATTGTACTGTCTTCTATGAGATGACCTATACTACATTTGTACTACTGACCTTCCTGTTTTTCCCGTCAGGCGGGTACTGCAGGAGTTTCTCCAGGGTGTCCTTCAGGTCCCTGAAGGTCGGTCTCTCGGCAGGAGTGTGTCTCCAACACTTCTTCATCATGTCGAATCTACCAGGCAATACATGAAACATTACAAAATTATATATCATAAGTTTGTACTCTGTCAGGAAATACATAGAAACATTATAAAATTATATACTATAGGTTTGTATTCCTAATGCAACTAGGCAAACCTTCCATCTAAAAACACAACTGTTCCTTTATCTCTACTATAACTGAAAAGAGAGGAGAAGTTGAATTTATGTAATGATTGCTAGTTTTATTTTGTACATATCTGTTCATCATGTTTTGTTGTGACCTGTACTTAGCCCAGTGTGGCAAAATGTGCAATAAAGGTCGTCTTTCATTCGAAACCAAATTATAATCTCCAAGCAGAACTTTTGGTAGACGCAAGAGACAGTATCAATTTAGCCAGGCAGTATCCATTAGCCAGACAGTATCCATTGGCCACCCTTCGGTGGCTAATGGACACTACTCCTCTGGCCAATGGATAGTGCCTTGCCAACGTATGATCTGCTTGGAGATTAGACATATCAAAGGGCTTGAATTATACACCCACTCGCAAACTCGTAAACGGCCGTTGCCATTTGAAACCGTCGATGCCAATCAAAAAGACAAGCTTCATGTGGCACGCTCCCTCCACATCGTGATGTTTCGTGGTGGGTTTTAGGATCAGGCTTTTTGACCCGGGTTCGAATCCTAGCGTCGTACATTTGCAATCGAAATGTTCCTTTTTATGTGTTTCAAATATATTTTGCGTCTCAAATTAGTCAGCTCTATTAAATCGTACATCTATAACTGCGTCAAGAAGCGAGAAGAAGTCGAACAATGTAAATAGTAGATCACATTAGTATGTATAGTTTAAGTATCATTGATGTATCCTTTCATCATTGCTGTATCCTTTTCCTTGTCTATCCATGACCTGTACTTAGCTTGTTGGAGCACAAACGTACAATAAAGGTCTTTCATTCATTCATTAAAGAGGTAATTAGTAATATTAGTAATAGGGCCGGATGACGCCCCTCGGGCTCAACTCCCCCGCTTCCTGAATGGTACTTAGTTGCAATTGAGTAGGGTTGATTCAACTTACTTTGTAGAGAAATGACCAGAAAATTGCCCTTGTATATCGTCCTAATGTTACTTCAATGCCCTGAAATAAACTATGCCCCGCCTTGACCTAACCTGGGTGCCATCCGATTTGTAACGGGGTTCCTTGCCCGCGCTTTTTTTTCGGGCCAGCGACTGCAAGGAGCCCCATTAATATAATGAATGAATGGAAGACCTTTATTGTACGTTTGTGCTCTAACAAGCTAAGTACAGGTCATGGGTAAACAGAGAAAAGAATACAGCAATGACACTTACATACTATATATACTAATGTGATCTACTATTTACAGGTTCAACTTCTTCTCGTTTCTTGACGCAGTTAAAGATGTACGAACATATTGAGCTAATGATACATGGTTTGTCAAGTTTCATGAGGAATTTGAATTTTTCTATATTCTATCTAAATGCCTAAAGATTGGGAACTTATCTATTACATAACTATAGAGGGAATCCCTCTCATTTCTATATAATGTGCAGTCAGCTACAAAATGACATTCATCTTCAATATTATCTAGATTACAAAATTGGCAGATCCTTTGCTGTAGAGGAATGTGGTTGTGTATGCCTTTTTCTATGTGGAGTTTGTGTGAACTTATCCAGAGTTTTGTGATGGCAGTTCTGTGTCGAATGTTTGTAATTCTCAGATATTTTTCCTCGTGGTAAGTATTTTTTAGTATTTTATATAAATATATCAGATGGCGAATTGTTGGCGACAGCTAGCCTCGGCCAGCAAGTGAGCGATCTCTTTACGGCTCCATATTTGTGTGATGTGGCGGCACCCAGGCAACAGCAGCCCCAAGGGCGACTTGGTGCGAAAGGATTACAACTTTTGGAAAGATGTTGAACCTTCTCTCTTAACTGGACATCAACATAGATACCACTGTAACCTCTGTACTCTTTGGAGAGAACTTCTATGTGACCCTGGCAAAATATGCCATATATCTATATAGCTATCATTGCTCAGATATAAAGATAATCCAGAATTACTTAGAAAACACAATGTTTTACATATATTTACCTCCTTGAAACAAGACGTACACAATATTAGCTTGTAGTGTATGTACTGTATGTTCATTTCTAACATGACTGATTGTAGAAGTTAGAATACGTTGTACAATTAGTAAGTTCCCAGCATGATGTAATCATTTTGTCGTTAATTTTACCTGTAAGACTAATGATTATGAAATTTTACTACACTCGATGTACGTTCGCTACACTCCTAATACGTTGTACAATTAGTAAGTTCCCAGCATGATGTAATCATTTTGTCGTTAATTTTACCTGTAAGACTAATGATTATGAAATTTTACTACACTCGATGTACGTTCGCTACACTCCTGACATTATGCCATGTATTGTTGTGCGTTGTATTGAGTTATATTTAATAAAGATCTGAAAAAAAAACATTTAGAAAGTCCCATGGGAGAACTTCATGGCAGCAGCCTGGAGGATCTGAATGCCACTTTGTAATAGAATGTAGATTGTACAGCAAAGAGAGAAATGTACTGTATAGGTTTGTACAAAACCTATTTCCTTACTTCATACAATTGAGCACTGTGGGAACGTTCATATTCCTAATGCAACTAGACAAACGTTCCATCGAAAAAATTATCTGTTCCTTTATCTCCACTATACATGTAACTGAAAAGCGAGTGGTTGAATGTATCTAATGATAGTTACTAAGTTAGTTTTATTTTGTTTATGTTAAGTGTATCTGTTCATCATGTTTTGTTTTGTTTTGTTTCATTTCTTGTCATCTATCGCCCAGAAAGAAACAAACACAATAGATAAAATTTAATACTATCTAACCATCCCTCACCGTTCCACAACTCCTGACAGCAGCCCAAGACAGGAGGACCTGGCTACATTCCTGCTGCAAAGTCTGCCTTGTCCCCCCGACGACCAGTGTCGGTCATGGGACTAGGTAGGTAGGTAGGTAACCATTCAATAATCAATTCAATGCCAAAGGACTGAAGAGAACAGTTACGTGAATATTTCAGGGTTAAAGGGTAAACCCGTGAGACTGTGAGACTGTGAAAACCCGTACAACCGGTACACAACAATAATTGTCGTCTGAAGAACAAACGCTAGTGCTCTACACGGGGTCGGATTATTCGCAAAGATTACAATACGTCTGAAGTTAACGATACCTCTTCCAAGGTAAGAAGCACTCCTAGATGTTCATATAAAAGTAAACAAAGGTGAGTAAATACATGTAGAAGGTAAGGTAAACAACAAATATGTTGAAGCGAGAGCGACCGCCACTATATTAACCGGATCTTGCGAACATGTAGCACAGCATGTTTTTAGATTGTAAGTCTTTCAGTCTAATGTTCAATAGTGGCCACCAGATATGTTCACAACCGGTTATGGTACGTGTACAACGACATTTGTCGTGCGTTGTGTTGCGATTTTGATACGGGATTTTCAAGTTGGCCGTGTCAGAAACGACCACCAACAAGGCAGCCTTTTTTTGTCGGATTTTGCACGGCTGTGACATGGTTGCACCCGGTGTGTGTTCGCACGACGATCGTAAGACAACCACCACCAATCCCCAAAACTTTATGCAAGTCTTGGTTGGATATTTGCTATTTAGTAGCTTCCGTAGCAGGCTTATAGAACTGGGGGTTTGGTGGTCTTCGGATGTTTTCTGAAACCAGGCCGGCTATGTTGTATATATATATTATGCAATCAGAAAATAGCACATAAAAGCTCTCAAAGACCATGAAGACCCCCGAAAACCCCCAGTTTGTGGAATGCTATGGAGGCTAGGTGTTTAGTACGTTGAATCCCGGGCTCGTATATTCGTACCGCACCCTTTAAATAATAACAGCAAGATTCCAAAAGGTCAAAAATCTCGCTAGACAAGCTCATCAGTCTGTTCAAGGTCATTCTATACAAGATAGAACGCCCTTAAATGACCACGTATTGCCTTAGGACATATGCTGAGAACTGTTGAATTTTGAGCTTGTGAGAGAGAGTTACTCTAGCCTCCATAGCATGCCAAAAATTGGGGATTTGGGGGGTCTTCATGGTCTTTGGGAGTTTTTATGTGCTATTTTCTGATTGCATATAGACAACATAGCCGGCCTGGTTGAATTGCCCCGGCCCGTTTTTTAACTGGGCTAATCAGAAAACAGCCGAAGACTACCAAACCCCCAGTTCTATAAGCCTGCTACGGCGGCTAGAGTTACTCGAAGAACAAATTCTGAACACAAAATTTTCAAGAGCTTGATATTTTATGTTGGGGGATATGTACGCTCTAAAGGCTCACCAGTTACAATGAACAGTGTATCTACAATGCGGTCCGAAAGGGCTGTATGGATCAGGAAATCTATTCCTGTTATGAACAGGGGATACAGACTCAGTCACGTTTGGGACCGCATTCGTAAGAAGAAGAAGTTAAATTAATTGTGTCAAATGACAACAATTTACTTTAGAGACCACATTGAAGATATGTACTGTTCCATGTAATTGTTGTTTGTTTTCTACACTCCTGTACGTTTGGGATCGCATTGTAGATACAGTCTCCGGTACCCGTGTGGATATCTAAACATTTTACGTTTGGGAATGCATCTACAGCAGCGACCATGTGCTGAACAATACTAACGTGAACCAGTCAGAATTGCCCTGAGGAAGGTGAGAGACGGTCACCGAAACGTCGGCCGAATAAAACCGTCGGTTGTGTGGGAATCTTTATTCAATTTTATGCATTCTTGAATAATTTATCCTTTTTTAAACCTTTACCTAATTCTCTTTATTTCCGTTCACAGTATGAAAGTTGCTTTACTGATAGCCGTCGTGTTGGCATCTGTCGTCCTGGCAGACTCCTTTTACGCCGGCAATGGCAGGATAAGGAAGCTTTATAAGAAAGGTAAGGCAGGCTCATCTATTCAACTTTTTCTGTATGAGAACACAATGTCAGGGGGATATCAGGGAGAGATCCCTTCTTTTTTGGCGACGTCTCAGGGAGGAGCCTGATGGTACAGTATTGTGCGCAGTTTGCAAGAATTCTAGGAATGGTACAGGCATTTATGGTTTATGGTTTATTCAACAACAAAAACCCTTGCAGCAAAAATGCTGAATTGCGTTTTTTTCCCACTAAAATCGTATGCTTATCATCATTATGCATTACAAGTCAGAAATAACAAAGACATAAATCACTATAAAATCAAATAAAATCACTATCTTCACGACTTACAGTTCTACTACTTTAACTGTCATTCAGCAGACGGACACAATAGGGTAGTGTACTGTTTAACATTCGCTGTGTCCGGCACTTAAACTGTGTCAGTTTCGTGCTGTTCCTTAGTGTTCTATTATGTACATCCCCCCTTGTGCTGGCAACCAATTACGGTATTTCTCACTGCTTGTGAGAGAACGAGCAAACCTCAGGCACAGTTCATCACGTCTGATATCTAATCTACTAAGTCCAGTAGTGTCCAGGGCCGTGGGCATTTTTGGCATTTTGTCCACTAAAATTGAACGTCCACAGGAATGTCTCTGACCCACATCTATGCCCACATTACTGGAAACCCTTGGGAAGACCTCTCTGCCCCGGATGGCCCTAGCTACTTTCTGTGACCCCGGGGCTCGTTCACTATACACTCAGGGGAGGAGTGCACTGTATCTGTCTAGACTTAACAACTGCTTTATTCCAAACATATGTCATTGTACTTCATTGAATCTCATCCACCCACAGGTAAGACCTTCCAGGAGAAAGAAATGGCTCTCCAAGATGCTGAAGCTAATCTGGAGGAAGTGGTGCATAACGCGGAGAGTGAAGCGGTACTGGAACTTATTTTCCAGGAGGTGAAGGGAAACAATGATGCCCTCAATGGTGCGTAAAACTCTATATTTAAAATCGTGCAATTCTCTGTATTTAATATTTTATATGTAAGTATTGTAGCGCAAAAGCTGTGGAATACAAAATACCCTTACCTCAAACTGCTCGTTTTATAACAACCCTCCAAATGTGTTGTCTATTCAAACTTTTTATTCCAATTTCTCTAAACTTACAAAAGTATAAAATTGGAAAAGGTGTGACATTACCTCTTCCATGGTCTACAAAAGAGAAGTCAAACCCTTCAGACATAGTTTTAGACATAGCTGTAGTTTTAGACAATTACCTTTCATTATATAGATTTTGAAGTTATTTTGTCTTCTGTTTCAATGTTCTTTTATCTTTGTTATTCACAATTAGCCTTCGAGTAGAAATTTGCAATAAACTTCTTCATTATGTTTTAGATTACTTCTAGTGCCTTGCTGATATGTAAACTGTGTTTTTTTATCTATCTGTAACAGGCTACACCTTTGACAAGAAAGTGGCTACTCTCCAGGAGGCTGCAGCTGATGTAGAGAAGAAGGTGACTGAAGTGGAGGAAGATGCCGCCTTGGGTCTACTGGAGGAGGAGGTGGAGGAGCTGGAAAAGGAACTAAAGTACTTGGACGGCGACCATGATGAGTGATGATGTTTACTATCTCATACTAGCCACCCACTTTTGTATTAGATTAGCCTTATGAAAATGTAGTTGACATGTACTTACTTAAGTTAGTAGATGCCATACTTTGTACACTGTACATTTGTTGCGCAATAAAGTTATTATCTTACAGAATTATAAAGTTTGCATGATTACAGTATTGCTAATTGTTTATCAAATCATCACCAAATAGCCTGTACTTTGTAATTCGTTTTTTTAATGTGTAAAAGTTTAGATATAAATGTAACAGTTTATGATTAATGTTTTAACGAAGAAGCGTACTTATGAAGAAGTGTTCCAACTACATTGCATGTATGTATACCCTTGTAAGAAATACGCAATTCAGCCTTGCGGCTGCGATGTATTTTAGCGAAATAAACCATTCTATATATAATGCCGAGAATAATTGCTCTGGTGTTCTGTCTAAATGCCAAGTTGCTAACAACAATTGCTTTAGAGTTATTATGAATCTACCTCGGTGATGTAGTGCTAGTGAGATGTTTGTTTACCGCTACACTGACACATTTAATTTAATTTGAAACTAGGCGAAGGAAGATTTATTATTTTACTCTTTCTTAAAGCAATTGTTCTCCTCCTATAACTCCATCATGCTTACTAAGATCAGAAATTACACTTCAAAGCTTAATACCAAACCTACACTTGTAACAATAGATGTCACGTCTTTGTGGGTAAAGCAAATATAGAGTCTCATGATTGTCTGACATGACTTGTTTAATTCATACTTGTATGTTTATTGGTGTGAATTCTTTGTTGTCAAGTTACTACTAGGTAGAATAGCTATTTTTGATAAATAAGGCCATGTTGATTTGATTATATGGATGACATCCGCGCGCGCATGAATTTTCGGCCGTTTCCAAAACAAAAAAATTTCAACCATACTGTAAATCGTACAAAACAGTTGCAAAATGAGCAAAAATATACCATAAGTTACAAAAGAAATTAATAAAAACTATACCAATGTCGTAGAATGTCAAAATCAAACGAAAAAAGACGAAATTGTAAAGAAATGAACTTGAAGACTAGATTATTCGCCAAACCATATTCTGTGCCATTTGCTCAACCCTCATGACCACGTAGATTTCATAATGAAAAGAACTTTTTTTTTGCAAAACTTTTTTTTTCGCACGCGCGCATCAGTTTGGGGGCTCCCGGAGGATGTCATCCATATAATCAAATCAACATGGCCTAACTGGGGTAACATGAAAAAAAATTGATAGGCAATCCAGATTTTTGAATTAGGTTGCCCAGTGTGAAACTGACGTATTTTGAACCCAAACTGTCACGTATCAGTAATGCGTATGGAACCATGCTGGGCCCATAAAGGCTCATAAAGCCCACCTCACGTGCATATGCACTGGTATAAACCTACCGCTGACTTTGTTGATCGATAGATTTGGGTCACCGAAATCTAAAAAAAAATCGCCAGATGGTCGAGCATATTTTTGCCTGTAAGGCCACACTTGTTAAATTGGAAGGACGTTCAGTGACCTGCGCTGCGAACATTGAATATGCATATGGTAACTAAAAATCGCGCAGTGATAAAAAAATGAAAGGACCGAAAATATCCAGCATCCGATACAATTTCAGGGCGCGGTAAAATGACTTTTCAAACCCAATTTTCTGGTCATTCTTTTAATTAATGTAGTAAGTTGAATCAATCCTATCCTATAATATATCTGTGAGACCAAAATTTCGCTGATGGAAAACGGCTTCTTGTTTTGAATCGTAGGCTGGTTCTAGCTATTTATGGGTGGCACTGGTACAAAAATAAAATATATATAAATTGACTCCTTACATAGCTCGTTTTATGGCTATTTCAAACGCTTGAAGGATGAAATGGTGACGAAAATGTTCCAAGAAATTAAAAGAAAAAAGCTTCCCTGAGCTGGAATTTTGTTGTGAGTACTAGTTTAACTCCTTCTTTCAATCCCAAGAAATTGCATTAGATTTCAATATCAGACAGATTTCCTAATCCAGAATATTTTTTTGGCCGTCCTGGCTGACACCTTTGAAGCCCAGAGGCTCGTCCGGTGTGCTTTCTTTCGTTTCTTTTTCAAAATGGAAGTATGCTACGGTGATGAAAAGGCACTGCTTCAAGCAAGTATGCATTTTTATTTTTAATAAGCGAGATGTTAGTACTGGTAAGAGGATACATACATGTCCTGTGGGCAGTTTGGCGGTTTCCCCATCCGGTACCCCTTCAGGACCAGTGTGACTATCTTGTCGGTGGGGATGCCTGGGTACGGGCTGCTTCCTGTATCAAACATGCAGAAACATACGTAAATAATTTCATCAGGTTGGTAAACGAATGAATAGCAAAGTTCTTTGATCACAACTATTTATTTTTCACGAGCCGACGTTTCGATGACCTTCTGTCATCTTCATCAGGGCAATTCTGACTGGTTTACTGTGCACTGACGCTAGATGTTACTTGGTGCATAGTGCACTAGCAGAGGTGTTACATAGTTCACAGTGCACTGTTACTTGGTTCACAGTAAACCAGTCCGAATTGCCCTGATGAAGATGACAGACGGTCATTGAAACGTCGGCTCGTGAAAAATAAATGGTTGTGATCAAAGAACTTTGCTAATAATTCATGTAGAAACATAGCCTGTGGCCAAGATGTAATTCGAGGATATACCCTCTCTGATGTAATTGATATACCCTCTCTATTGATAATTCTGGTACTTGAAGGCATGGCTATTTCTTTCTTTCTTTATTTATTTATGACGATTTACCACATTTGTGGAAGAATTGACATAACAGGTGACTATCACCTTTTCAAAGATGTCAAACCTGAGACCAGACTGTAATGTTTGAACCACTCACACCGGGAAGGTCCCCTACACTTTTCGATAAGTGTGGTGGGTTCTTTAACGTGCGTGGGGTGTGGCTCTCCCAAACACGGGACCTCCATTTAACGTCCTATCCGAGGGACGTCCCTAACCGAAGCTAGGTACTCATTTTCACCTGAGTGAAGTGAGGAAAGTCGTGTAAAGTACCTTTCCCAAGGGTATAACGTCGCGGCGCATGTTCGGACTTGTTCGGGTACGGGAATCGAACCCGGGTCTCCCCGTTTCATAGTCCAGTGATGTACCACTACACCACACGACGCCACTATTTCTTGTTCTCTTCTGGCCTGACATTAGTATTCCATATTAATGTGTTTTGCTTCTTAATATGGAGCTGGATACTTACCTAGGGTGGTTATCTCCCACAAGAGCACGCCAAAGGACCACCTATGGGTAACACGGACAAGCGGCATTAATTGGATCTCACCACGATAGCATTTACATGTAATCATGCAGCAAAAAAATAGAACATAACGTTATGAAAAACGTGCGACCCAGATACATGTAAGAGTGGCGTTGCTTGAGTATCTGTCTGACAATAAATGTTGTTATTATATAGTTGCAGTGAAATTTGAAAGAAATTTGATTTCAAAGATAATTATAAAAAAAGAGAATTTTATGGCACGACAATTGTACATGGTACAATGTATGACAACGATTATTGAACGATTATTATACAAAAAGAAAAGGGGTATAAAATGAATCTTTTCAAACATCCTTGTTACTAAAAATCAAGTGCTAGTATAGTATACAATGAACTAGGGCTGATAATGAGTTTTGGTATTTTTTGTAATGACAAAACTGTTTTTTATGTATTTACTAGTATCTATTTTGCATTGTGAGAATTGCATATTTGAATATATATATATATATGAATCTATGCCTATAACATTGAGTCTGTTTAAATCTGTTGTACTTGATTCGATAAATATGAATAGCTAATTACGTAAAACGTCATATAATATATGATTAAACTAGAAAGGCCAATATTTGCTTTGGAGCAAATACAGCGATGGGTTCACCACATTTTACGACATGGCAGGGAAAGAATGAGAAACACAAGGGAAAACAATGATTTACATTGATATAACTATAATATGAAGTAAAATACAACTAAAACAACAGTTGGATAGCTATTCCCTACTTTATTGGTTAGGATTTTTAATTGCATAATGCAAACTGTTGATTTTCAAAATAAAAAAAAACGTCCATGCCCCGCATTCCAATGCTGGAGCAGGAAAGCTTGAAATACCTACCAAAACACTTGAATACAGACATACTGTCAGTATGGAAATGCGCTGTGCAGGTGTTAATCAAGTTAAATCCCAACAGCCAATCAGCAAGAAATGCTCTGTGCAGGTGGAAATGATCTATGCAGGTGTTAATCAAGTTAAATCCCAACAGCCAATTAGCAAGAAGAATAGAGGAAAGCTGCATGCCTATTGGTTGATGCCCTGCATTCCATTGTGATGACTCATGCCCAAACGTGGTAAACAAGGCACACTAATACAGTAATACATTTGCTATAACACAGCCAAAAAACTCAAATAAAACCATTCTAAAAGCCTGTATCACAATAATTTAAAAAACGCCTAGGGGTATTTGCCCACTGTACCTCCATACCAAATTTCAGGACCTTGGGCCCTAAAATGAAGAAGCTGAATCCATTTAAAAAATGGCAGGAGGAGGAGAAGAAGAAGAAACATCAGAAAAAGCAATATGGTTTCACCCATAACCATAACCCATAAAAAAGCTTACACGTCACTTTTAGTTGTGTATCTGCCGGACAGTAGTGTCTCTGGTGCCATCCATTTGAAAGGCATGCGGCCATCCTGGAAAACAAAAACGTACGTTCATACAAGTACGTATCATTTTACATACTAATGCCATGTTGATTTGATTTTTATTATATGGATCACATCCACTGGGAACCCCTATAACTGATGCGAGCGTGCGAATTAAAAAGTTTGGCAAAAACATTTTTGCCAAATATAGAGCAGATATAGAGCAATCCGAGCAAAACCTAATCCCCAATCAGATCTTTTGCTGGCTGCAAAGACAGTATCAAATTGGCCAGGCAATATCCAGACAGTTAGGTACCATCTTAATTGGGTGGCAAAACGGTAAATGGATATTACCTGGCCAATTTGATACTGTCTTCGCAGCCACCAAAAGAATGAGTTAAGATCGCAGCTGTGATACTCTTAAATAGACTACAGAAATTAGTAAGATTTTACACAAAAGACTTTCAAAAGATCACATCCTACGTACGTCAATGAAGGTTAGGTATCCACGTAATGAGATACACAAGTAGTTTGCACTCAAGTAACAGAATACATTTCGTAAACTTGTCAGCTGGCAGCCTGACACTTTCCAACTGTATACCATGGGCATGGCCAATTCAAAATCTATCCAGTTGTTTTGAGTAACAACTCCTTACGGCCCTTACGGCATGGACCACAACTCAAATGATAATGTGAACCGGTCAGAATTATCCTGAGGAAGGTGACTGATGGTCACGGAATAAACCTCCCAGTTGTGTAAAAAAAAGTAGTCTCTTTGTTCAGTGACTTACCAACCTGATGAAACTATTCACGAATATTTTTTTTTATTCCAACATGTAATCACCAGACGTGGTGGGGACACACTCAACTTTTTTCAACTTATATTAATGCCGCCACCAACACATGGGACAAATACACGACAATACTCATTTACACCTGAGCTAAGTGAGGAAAGTCGTGTAAAGTGCCTTTCCCAAGGGCACAAGATCGGTGGCATGTCAGGACTCGAACCCGGGACTCTTAGTTCAGAGTCGCGCACTCTGCCTCTACGCCACACGACCCCACAAGTGTGGTCCATATCCACGAATATTGGATCATGGAACACAGTTTGAAACAAGAAGCATTATCTAGTTGTTACAAAATAAACATATTCTCGAGACCTTGGTTTCCTTGAAGTAGTACGCGTTCTCCTTAGCCTCTCTGGCCAGCCCGAAGTCGGACACCTTCGCCACCACGCCGTCAAACACCAGGATGTTCCGCGCTGCCAGGTCACGATGGATGCACTGATGGTGAGGAGGGAAATTTCAGAAGTCAATCATCAAGGCAATAAAACATCTCCCTAGTCTGAAAGATCTCCCTGATACGTCGATGAAGGTTAGACATCCAGGTAATAAGATACGTCAAGTTGCTCAAGCAACTGGATATGATTTTGGAAACGGTCAGACGTTTCAGGTAGCATCCACTACCTTTCGTCAGTGACACCGGAGAATTGTCAGAAAGGCAGGTTTATAAGCACTAACTTTTGATTGATACGCAAACAAATGAACACAATTTTTTTTATTAAACATTCGAAAGGAAACAAAAGTTAGACAAGTCAAGACAAGGTAATCTCCAAGCAGATCATACGGTGGCAAGGCAGTATCCATTGGCCAGAGGAGTGTCCATTAGCCACCGAAGTGGACACTCCTCTGGCCAATGGATACTGCCTTGCCACCGTATGATCTGCTTGGAGATTAAAGACAAGGGTGATGTCCCTTTCCTTACATTTCAATCAATAGTTCGTACTTATAAACCTGCTTTTCTGACAACTTGGGCCAGTGTCACTCACTCACTGCACATGTACCTGAAACGTCTGGCCGTTTCCAAAATCATATCCAATTGCTTGAGTAACTGTTTTTATGGCGTATCAGAGTCCTGCCCCAATTACGATAGACTGGATACCAGGTACCTTGGGAGCCAGAATAGTATCGGACCGCTAGCCGTTTTCCTTCGGCAACCAAGAGCCCTTCTCCCACCTATCTAATTTACCGCTACGGGAGAGTTGAGCTCGGGGGTAGCTTAGCCGGCCAAAGGGCGAAGGGCTCTTGGCTGCCGAAGGAAAACTACTAACATCCCGATACTAGTCTGGCTCCCAGGGTAGATACCAGGCTACAAACTCACCTTCAGGGATGCGAGATGAGCCATTCCCCTGGCGATGCCCAGCGCCAACTTGAGCAGGTCCGCGTCCCGCAGCACACCTTTGCCAGGTAAAAGTTGAGCCGTAAAGTAAATTACACATTACAAACTCACCTTCAGAGATGCGAGATGTGCCATTCCCCTGGCGATGCCCAGCGCCAACTTGAGCAGGTCCGCGTCACGCAGCACGCCGGCTCCCATCGCGCACAGCTGCCGGTCGCTCTCCAGATCACTCACCAGGTGCCGAGCCTTCAGGAACTCTCGCAGGTTCCCGTGGATAGCGTACTCCATGATGATGCAGAGAACCCCTGCCATGGGTACAAAAATGTAAGGAACCAGAAAAGAAACATTTACGAACCAATTCATTACAACCATCCCTCAACAGAGACGGGGGGCGCCACAGACTTTCTGCAACCTATGATCCACTGCTCACGGAGTCACGTGTGTTATCTGCGTGACGTCACGGAAGCGGTGGGTTGTTCATTCCTTTACAAAGACTAGAGTTGTACAGTCGGAAATTTACCACTAGATTACACAAGCTAGTAAAAAATGAGAAAGAAGAGATATGCAGAAAACGGAGATACACAGAGAAATAATGGCCTTGGCTATACAAATTTCAGCAAGAAAATTCTGAAAAGATATTTCCGAACTGCTACAAAACTGCCATGTGCAGTCATCTCTCTCATGTTCGGAATCGTGATTTTTGGATCAAATTTGGTGAAGACGTGGGGTGAGGATTGAATGATGAAATCAAGCAAACTGAAAGGCACAGTAAATCTATTCAAATATGTCACTAGTCATTATACCTTGCCAGCAGTTCTTAGCATTGTTGTCATGGATACGCCTTGTGGCGCACTTCGTGTGCGTCATCAATGACGTCATTAGTTTCTACTAGAGGCGTCCAACAAAGAACGAAATCTGCGTGCAATAGGCACCTATTTCCTTTTCCTAACCCTACATGTTTGATTTATACTGTTAACTCCACAGGACAGTCTCTCGGAGGAACCCTTTAGAACTGAATGCGATCAGTGAATAGTGAAAAGGGGAGTTTTTGTTACATTACAACAATTTATGACAACACAAGGTGATGGCACACGCCGCCACCTACGCAGAGGACAACCGAGTAAAGTGCCTTCGGTGGCATGTCAGAACTCAAACCTGGGACCTCTTGGTTCCAATCGCGAGTCGAACACTCTGCAGTTACGCCACACGACCCTACGCAAAAGGGGAGGTTCAAAATAAAAAGCGTCCTGCAGGTCGATTTGCCTGAGGTTCTCGTGAATAAAGAATGGTTCAAACAAATCGTTTCTACCGATTTTTGATATGTTTGAGAAGCAGAAGGGTGTCATTGAGCAGACGAATATGTGTGGGCCACAGGCAACGCACCTGGAAGAAATTCTTGCGATTGATATGAGCATTCTGTGTTATAAGAACAACAATAATTGGTTTATTGCAAATGAAGAACTGGTAGCCCCCAGAGCCCCCATAGAGAAATAAAACCTGCACAGTATCATTGTCTAAAACCATGTTAGACGACATGCCTAGCCTCCCATACACTAGATGGGACAAGTTATGCCTCAGTTTTGCTTAGAACCTTATAAAACCCCAGACATACAGTACATATGGGGCCTGCATGGGGGGTCCCGATAACGCTCTACGCTAAATTTTGAGAGCCGGCTGTGTATTACGCTGAATTCAGGAAGGCTCTCCACGCTCTGCGCTGAATTCGAAAGATTCCCAAAACACTATGCAACTCAATCGACTGAACGTTTGCGTCAAAGCTGGTGATTTATTATAATATGAATAGTTCGCAAAACTCGAGGTAAAAGTAGTAATAATAACCGACGACCACCTCCTTATATATTCATAGAATACAACACGGGTATTCCGTATCACCGAGTACCAGCCCGACCGCTAGTCGGATCGGACTCGGTTACTCCAACTGAAATAAAAGTTCGAGCATTGAACTATACGCACAATTTAATCGATTACATTCCGGGTAGTCACAACGCATTACGTAGAATTAACACAGCGAATGACGCTCTACGCACAATACGCCAATTACGCTCTACGCTAAATTAGAGCGGTCCTCCGTCTACGCTCTACATGGATTAGGCCACACCAAGTAAATTTTATGGATGACGTCCGCGCGCGCATTGATTTTGGCCTGTTCCTAGAAAAAAACCCAAGAAATTCCGCTTCCTGTAACTATGGCCAAAGAGTCATGACAGTGCCGCAAATAGGTTTGTACGGACCAAAGCTTATGAATCATCAAGCAAGGACATCATGACTTCCATTAGGAATTCAGTTTATTGTACATGCTGCCACATTTGAAGAAACTTGCTGACCGCTCCATCTATCTCCCCAAAGCACAAGACGACAACTGCTGTTCCACCTGATTTATTGCCGTTTTGATGATGAATAAAAGGCTACACTGTGTCACCTCATTCAATTTGTGTCCTAACATTGTCGTCTCTTAGTATATTTCTAATCTGGGCATCTTGTTTTTTAGGGCCCTTCTCGCATTAGATTTAGGGTGTCCAAAGGACGTCATCCATAAAATTTACTTGGTGTGGACTTACGCTCTACGGAAAAGGGCATGCAGGCCCCCACATATGGATCCCCTTCCGTCGGGGCGACGCCCATCACAGCTCACCACGTAATTATGACAAGCTAACCCAGTACAAATGCAGGATTGTTCGGTTTAGGAACATTACGCTACCATACTGCGTAAAACTACTGAACGATGGAGTTAAATGTCGTGAGGCAAACGTATGCCCATGATTTGTAAACCAGCGCAACACTGTCGGATAAAATACTGTCGTATTTTTTAAAAAATACAGCTACTTCGTCAAAAAGCACTGTACAAAACTACAATATTTAATACATAGATGAATAAATAAATGAACCATTCTCTCTCTCTCTC